TCCCCCCACCCCTCTTCACCCTTTAATTCTTTTCTCCTATCTTAGTATTTCAGAAATACTGCCGAATACCAACATTTATGTTGGATACATAAGCATTCATTTAGAAGAAATTCATGCAATTTAAAAAATCTTTATTTTTTGAACCAAATCATGTCATTTTTACCATTTCCAATCACCTTAACTTTTTCGATCTCTTTTAATGAATACAAGATAAAAAAAAAGAATGAGAGAGAAAAAGATATGAAAATTATCAAAAGAAAGAACAACATGACCATGAACATGAACATGAACATGAACATCAACATCAACATCAACATCAACATCAACATCAACATCAACATCAACATCAACATCAACATCAACATCANCATGAACATGAACATGAACATGAACATGAACATGAACATGAACATGAACATGAACATGAACATGAACATGAACATGAACATGAACATGAACATGAACATGAACATTAAAATGAACATAAACATGAACATGAACATGAACACGAACATGAACTTGAACATGAACATTAACATGAACATGAACACGAACATGAATATGAACATGAACATGAACATGAACATGAACATGAACATGAACATGAAAATGAACATGAACATGAACATGAACAAGAACATGAACATGAACATGAACATGACAACGAACATTAAAAATGAGAACGAACCAACCTGTCTAGGACGAGATCAACAATCTCCTTCCCGATTGTATAGTGTCCTCTGGCGTAGTTGTTAGCGGCATCCTCCTTCCCTGTACAAAGTACAATTGTCAATATGTACAAGACAGTGTACATTTTGTACTGTGCATAATATGCGCAAGATGTATATATTTTTTTTTAATAATTTTAGATTCAAAATTAGGATTTTGCCCAGTACTTCTTTAAAACTAAAGCTATAAAAAAATCGCTTGCCGGCTTTAAGATATTTATATTCTGGACTATAAAACTACTGGTACTTGGTGCAGTAGAACTATTGGCTAAAGCCTGGCGAAATTGGCCCTGTCTTAATAGTTCAGGACTGCGTAGATCAGTGTTTACCTGTGACCAGCTGTTCTGGATGGAAGAGCTGACGATAGGTTCCAGTTCGAACCTCGTCAATCACAGTTGGTTCCAGGTCGACAAATATAGCCCTAGGATAACCAAAATAAATTTAACATTAGATTTAAATCTAATTCAAGCATTGTCCCTTAGTATGGAGAGATATTGAGAAAAATAAGACAGTTTTTATTTAATTTTTCGATTTACTCATTCTTTGGCGTTAAATAAGAGGAAATAGGCGTTCATAAAAGCGTAACAGCATTTATCCACGTATTTTTTTTACATTTTGTCAAGAGTAAATCATTTTACTGTTATAATTCATTTTTTCTAGAAGATTTTATGAAATTTTATACAATCAAAGGTTTGGTAAATAATTACAAATATTGTGGTTTGGCTTTATGGTGATAATAAAAGAATTGTAAAAGTAGGACACTATACTAAACAAATATTGGTTATGTAAATCGTACACATAGACTTTGTGTGTTTACAAAATTATTCAGCAAACTTTACTTTCTTTAAGGTAGAAACTATCATAAAACAATGAAGAAAACAATTTTGCATAAATTATTTCTCCCCCCACCCCCTCCCTTTATCACAGTAACATATAAATGATCAATATCACCTCTCCCTAGATATATTCCCATTGCTACAAAGAAAAAACTCTCTCCTTAGTTCTACTCTCAATTGTAAAAAAGTACCTAGGAACATGTTTGCCAGCTCCTGTCTCTGAGAAGAATGTATTAAAACTATCATCTCCAACTCCTACACTCTTATCACTGGGCATCTGACCGTCAGGCTGGATTCCTGAAAAAATGGAATTAAGTCTTTGCCACAAACTCAGGTTTTCTAATCCCTATATCTTTGAAAACTCAATGTCGTTCATCTTTTAAACAATAAATATCAAAGGGTTACACCAACTAGTTGCAAAGATAAAAGAAATAAGAAAATTTGAGTTTGTGGCAAAGATTTAATTTCTTCACAAAGGAATTGAGTCTTTGTAACAAACCCAAAGTTTCTAATCCATATATCTTTGCAATCTGATTGTGTAAATTTTTGATATTTCAAACTTAGATTATTTGATCTAACAGAAATTATAGTTTGAAATATCTAAGGTCTACGACATTGGATTAAGTAGATATAAGGATTAGAAAATCAGAGTTTGTGGCAAAGACTCAATTCCTTTAATCATTATAAGCCAAAATAAATATGAACTCGTGAAGAGCTTAAGTAATTTCAAGTTGTACTTGATTTTAAAGATACTAAACCATTTTACAAAACAAACGAATTCCTGCAAAATTACGTATACGAAAAAATGGGTTTCAAATAATTATTTTAGGAAAAAAGGAATGGCTTTTAGCCTTTTAGCAATCTTTAGGGGAAAGTAGAACTATTTCAATGTTAAATATATATTTGTTTGTTTTCCATTATTAAATATAATGAAATTTCCTTTTAGGTTCTAATTCGGGGGTTGTGTTTTAATTGAATTAGAAATGACGCGAAGAACTTCTGAAATTGTTAATTTCAATTTTAATTTCAAAATGTTTGTAATTAGTTTTATTTTATTTAGTCAAGACCGTTCCTGCATAAAAAATGAAGATAGAGTTAGGTAATTTCTAAAAAAAATTCTTTTTCAAATTTTTATTTGAAAATAATTTTTTACTCCATAATATTTAGTACACCAGTCTAGCTGTTTAAATTGTTAATGAATAAAACTGGTACTAACCGTGCTCCAGGCAGTACAGTTCCCAGCATGCATTTCCCATCTGGCATCCTGCTTGCCCAATATGGATAGAGATGCATTCCCTCTAAACATAAAAAATTGTAAACATTGCAGTACGATGGTTACACGGGTCCGTATTTCACAGTATTTTTAGAGAGTTGGTATAGCTTTCATCAACATTTTTGTTATAGTTCATAAAAACTCGATATATAACCAATTAATATAAAAAACTTTATATGCGACTTCGATTTCAATTTTGACTTATATCAAGCTTTTAAACATTATGGATACACATAATCATAATACCAAAAGAAGATGTCAATTTAAAAAATTCAATTTTTCTTGTAAAGTTGAAATTTGAAAAAAAACTTGTTTACAATCAAAACCTTTAAAATTGTCCTCCTTGTTTTGATATAAACGCCGACCACTGTATTACATTTCTTCATGAATTGTTTTATGTATATTAACCAGATCAGATTTCAGTATTATAAGGTTTATTTTAATCTAAGCATATCTAGTTCACCGTCTGACACACATTTACGGCTCATATAACCCTCACAACTAAATATATATATATATATGTTTGTTTGTTTATATATTTAATAGACCTAATATAATATATACTTATTTAGAAATCTGTATGTAGGTATACATAAACCTTCTCTATCTGTATCTTGGAATACACACACCTTCTCTGTCTGTATCTTGGTATACATACACATTCTCTTTCTGTATCTTGGTATACTTACACCTTCTCTGTCTGTATCTTGGTATACATAAACCTGTTCTATCTGTATCTTGGTATACATACACCTTTTCTGTCTGTATCTTGGTATACATACACCTTCTCTTTCTGTATCTTGGTATACATACACCTTCTCTTTCTGTATCTTGGTATACATACACCTTCTCTGTCTGTATCTTGGTATACATAAACCTGTTCTATCTGTATCTTGGTATACATAAACCTGTTCTAACTGTATCTTGGTATACATACATCTTCTCTGTCTGTATTTAGGTATACATAAACCTTCTCTATCTGTATCTAAGTATACATGAACCTGCTCTATCTTTATCTTGGTATACATAAACCTGTTCTAACTGTATCTTGGTATACATAAACCTGTTCTATCTGTATCTTGGTATACATAAACCTGCTCTATCTGTATCTAAGTATACATGAACCTGCTCTATCTTTATCTTGGTATACATAAACCTGTTCTAACTGTATCTTGGTATACATACATATTCTCTGTCTGTATTTAGGTATACATAAACCTTCTCTATCTGTATCTAAGTATACATAAACCTACTTTATCTGTATCTAAGTATACATAAACCTTCTCTATCTGTATCTAACTACACATACACCTACTCTACCTGTATCTAGAAATAGATACATGCGCCAGTAAATACTTCATGGTCTGAGAAATTCTATTCCTGGTTTAAAGGGGTAGCGTGGGACTTGTATATATATATATATATATATATACGTTATTTATAAAGAATATGCTGAGAACTTGGAAACTCGGAACTGGGAGAATTAGACATATTTAACTAGCAACCTATGTTTACTAGGGGGGTGGGGGGAGTCCCATTTCTAGGTTTATTTTGCTTTTGCATGCATCGTAATAACCAAAATAACATTCTCAAAGGATTTTATGCGACATCAAAAAATGATAAACTATAAACGTTATGAGCATGAGACATATCTTTTTAGTTTTTTTTCAGCAATAGGTCAAGGTTTTATTTTAAGAATTGAGAATAAATGATACACATTGATAGAGGGGTTAAACAAAGACATTTTTTTAAAACCTGATTTCAAAATGCGAGATCCATTCGTAGAATTTTTTAAGTTTAAACCATATATTACAAATAAATATCCAAAAGTACGTTTTTACCGTGAATGCACTAGAGGTATTTGTATAATATATACTTGGTGTAATAAAATAAAATCTAACCACTGTAAACCCTATTGTTGAACAATTTCAACCAAAAATATACCAATAGATTTTCAACATACATATATAATGCATAATATCTTAATATAATAAGTCTAGAACATTTTCTATTATTATTAAGATAGGTTATTGCGTGCTGGACACAATAATACATAGTAAGAGTTTTCGTCTGTTTGTCAAAGCAAAGCAATAATAAGATAATGATTGACCAAACATTTATTGAATTTTCAATGAGTAAAGGAATTGAGTCTTTGCCACAAACTCTGATTTTCTAATCACTATATCTTTAGAACCAAATGTTGCAGACCTTAGATATTTCAAACTATGAATTCTGTTAGATCAAATAATCTGAGTTTGAAATATCAGAGGTTTACAACATAGAGTTCTAAAGAAATTGAGGTTTAAATATTTGATTTTGTTCCGAAGACTCAATTCCTTTGTACATAATTTTTAATTGAAAATCTGGAAAAATAATTGAATTGCATGTACACTGCCTTTAAATATTGAGTTATTTAAGTATTCTAGGATATTAGAACTGCATTGCAGGTAGAATTCCTTTATTGACATTCTACTAAGAGGGCTAAAGGGAGAAATCTGGAGCTTTAAAGGGAGAGTTCACGAAAAATGAAAGGGGTATGGGTTTACAGCGAAAAAAAGCGCTTTTGATCGCTACTATTCTTACTTCTATCTGTTGCGTCTATAAGGAGAAAATTATAAAAACGACTCATGCTGAAGAACGTAGCGTTCATGCAAATTCAGAAAGTTGCAACATTAAACTCGGATCGTAAAACAATCAATTTACTTCCAAACAAATAATTCAGTTATAACAAACAATAGTCATCGATTATTTTTTGACGCATTCGTATATAGTTAATATTTAATAATATTTTTTTTTTAAATACTATTTCGAAGGCGCTGGATTTTCAAACATTCCTAGAAAATATGAAAATGCCGTCTTCATTATCAATTATTGCTGATTGTTGGTTGTAATATCTAAATGATTCGTTTGGAATTAAACTGAATTTTTACAATCCAATTCGATAGAAGCGGTCAAAAGGCCTTATTTTTCGCCGAAAGCCTATACGCCCTTTCATTTTTCGGGAACGCTCTCTTCAAACGCAGACACAAGAGAAGAAAAATATTTATTCGAAAAAAATTTACTTTTTTGTTTCTTCTACATAAGGACCTGATGTAATCGTATATATTGAAAAAGATGGAAAAGTATATTTAGGACACATATGAAAGGTTTATATTGGTAACGGTGGAAAGTAAAAATTGGAAAAATGCTAAAGTACATGTAGAACAAGATGAAAAAGTACATGTAGAACAAGATGAAAAAGTACATGTAGAACAAGATGAAAAAGTACATGTAAGAACAAGATGAAAAAGTACATGTAGAACAAGATGAAAAAGTACATGTAAGAACAAGATGAAAAAGTACATGTAGAACAAGATGAAAAATTACATGTAGAACAAGATGAAAAAGTACATGTAAGAACAAGATGAAAAAGTACATGAATAACAAGATGAAAAATTACATGTAGAACAAGATCAAAAAGTACATGTAGAACAAGTTGAAAAATATGGGACAATATGGAAAAGAATAAAATAAATATTTTTAAAAACTGTATTTTTTTTGTGTCCATATGTATTTTCCTAGATATAGACTTAGTTTGATGACGCATACGAGATAAGAATAGGAGTATTGGGTATGGAAGTCCCGAGGCCGAAGGATGGGGGGGGGATATAAGGAAGGGGGGCAAGGAGAAAGGAGGAGGGGGAGGCTAGAAAACGTCCCAAATCAATGCGAAAACCGCGCCCAACCCAGACTTTTCTCTCTTCATGATCAGAAGTAAAAATCAATCAAAAATTGTCCGATCAACTTTTTTAACTGAAAATTGTTCTTTTGTATGTTATCAAGGAAAGGTAGGGTAAAAGCTTATAGATTAAAAATAAAAAAAATGTCACAAATCTATCTAACTCTCGATTTTGCAAATATTTTGAATTTTTACACCAAATCATCAAATTGTCCTGGTATTAGCTAATTTTATAAAACCCAATGAAATTTATAAAAAAGACCAACAAAATACTGACACATTTTCTTACCATAATTAGTGATCTGAAGAAGCCTTGAGCTGAATAAAGACCGCTAGAGACTGATCACGGTTGAGGTCCGACATCTCATTATATATGAGACAGTTCCGGCCGGTACACCCTTTACCCGACCACTTCCGCTATCCGGGCCGGTACAACCAATCTTAGAGCAAATTTCTCCCGCATTTCCTTCAACACTGGAAATAATTATGCATTTGCCTACAAACCATGACACGACGCTACTTGGAAATATTTCTGTCTCACAGACATAAAAATATACATTTTTTAAACAAGATAATTACTTTTTCTGTTCTCTCTTTCTCTCACAATATAATACATTTTCTAACAGTGTATGATGTTGTATTAGGAATGAGAAGATATAAAAAAGTTGAAAAGACATCCTAACATTTCTGCATTTATGATTAATGATTATGAGCAGTTATTACCATTTGGCTTTGCCATGAATAAAAAAGACGACATTTAAAAATAAGAATAATGTATTAAATCCAACGTAAATCGTTTAATTCATTTTATAATTTAGCTCCAGTATTAACATTGATATTTTACGACAATACATAAACAAAAACATATATATTTAAGATTCACAATAATAATCTATATATTTTATAATTTAGATCCAGTATTAACATTGATGTTATACGATATATACATAAACAAAAACATATCTTAAAGATTCACAATAATAATCTAAATACCTTTTAAATAAATAATTTACACAGCGGAAACAAAATAATTTCGGATCCTTACAATTTTCCATTTTTTCCATCGAAATTGATCATAAACACATTCACTTCTCGGTATTATTGACCGAAGTCATTGATCTAGATTTTATAGGAAAAATCGTCAAGTTATGTTAATCAAAAATTTTCTTTTATAGATAAAAAATGTTAATACAAAATATATTGTGTGAATAATAAAGGGTCACCCACAGAGGCGTATTCAGGGGGGGGGCTAACCCCCCCCCCCCTAGGGCGGCCCTGTAAAAATTGTTCAGAGGTGCACTTTTTCTTTTGAATAGATATATATGAAACTAAGATAAATCCAAAATATTTTTTTTTTGACCATTTTTTCCGGTGCTGTCGGAAAAAAAGTGATTTTTTTGCCATTTTTGAACTTTATTGATTTTATTTCTTAAAACTTTTATAAAATCCAAAGTTTTTGACTGAGAATAATGTTTCATATCATTTTGGAAATCCCAGATAATGGTCTAAAAGATAAAACCAACTGATACTGAATATTTTGAAAAATCATAGTTTTATAAGCAGTTATAGCCCCAAAATCATCGAATTTATTGATGCGCACTTGCAGCTCATTAACATACCCTGAGAACTGAACAAAAAAATTAATTTTTATTTTCATTTTCTATATTTTATACTTATTCTAAAATGTCATTACTTTTTGAAATACCTTCAAAAATGGTCGATTAATGAACTGTTCAAAAANCGATGCTTTAAGCTTTTGAGCAGTCCAATGAAACTGTAAGGTTCAACTCCCACACTATTCCCTTGATTAAAAACAGTTAATTCATTTATTAATTAAATATAATTTTAAAGTGAGTTAACGTGTTCTCTCCACGTTGTAAAACCATAATATAAGATAATTAGAAATACAGATATTTAGAAATACAGATAATTAGAAATAAAGATATTTAGAAATACAGATGTTTAGAAATACAGCTAATTAGAAATACAGATATTTGGAAATATAGATAATTAGAAATAAAGATATTTAGAAATACAGATATTTAGAAATACAACTATTCAGAAATATAGATATTTAGAAATACAGATATTCAGAAATAAAGATATTTAGAAATACAGATATTTTACCAAAATATTAAACGGAGAAAATCATCATGTTTTACCCTCTTAAGTTTTAAGGTAGGGTAAGATCTCACAATTGAAATATGTCCAGAAATAGTTTTTAAAAAAATATAGATATATTCAAATATTTTTCGTAAATTGGAGTTGGACAGTCCAAAATTATACGTAAGGTGTAAATAACTAAACAATTCATTAAGAACTTGAGTTTTTACCACTAACTCTGTATTCCAAATCTATACCTGTGCGACCGAAATAGATGGCAACAGAGAAATGGACCAATTATACACCACGTCACAAGTGTCAAATATAACAAGGAACACGAAATTTTCTCACAATTATTGACGTGTTTTCCAGGATTAAATAAAAAAGTGTAAAAACAGAAAATAAAGAACACATAAAAATGCACTTATTTCACTGTAAGATAAGCATTTAGTCTAAAATTATCATTAATATAGCTCGGAATAGGGTAAAGTTCCATTGATGTAACCCCCTCAGCTCTCATGCGAACCCAGAGCTAAACTCAGATTGGATAGTTCCATTGATGTAACCCCTTCAGTCATCATACGGACCTAGAGCTAAGCTCGGATTGCAAGTAGTCCAGCTTATAAACAGGACAACGTATATTAGATCTTTAGGTCGGAAAGAAAGTGGGCGGATGATAAGTCGCCAACATGGAGAAATATTTGTCGTCAGAAAATACCAACCCAGAAAACATGTTTTGAGCAAGTTTGAACATGTGGAAAACCAAAGCCACGGTTGCCCCAGATACTGGTTTAAATTAAAGCCAATAGGCATGAACCACAGCTTAGAAGTAGAAAATAGGATCAGTCTGGGCTAAAACCAAAATAGCCTTTGTAGTTACGAAGAGTCCGAAGACGGAAGATTAACTCGTCGTACGAGGCGAATGAAAGTCCTTCAGAGAGCTCCTGGTTTCTATGATTCATTAGTATCATTTTTATTTGTTTTTACTTGAAAATACATTTTTTCCTATACTGTGTAGATTTACTTACATCAGTATTATGGCTTTAGATTTCCTTTATTTCATACCACTTTTTTATGGTAACACTACGGTGCCATCTATTTGGTGCAACCTGATGTCGAAGACCTTTAACTTTCCAACTATGAATTTTGTTTGATATAATTGAAAGTATTACATCATCAGGTTACAAAGAAAAAGGGATTAGAAAATTTGAGTTTGTAGCAAAAACTCAATTCCTTTAACAAATGATGAATAATTGGAAAATCCAGGCTAATTACAACAAGCCTTATTTTTGACAATAACGCTAGAATTTGTACGACGGAAAGTATAATTTTTTTTTGTGATTTCCAAAATTGTAATGATACATGTATATTGAAATATATGAACAATCCCTTTAAGTTACCTGACACATTTAAACTCTGTCTCCTACTCGGGATAGGGACGGACCAGGGCATTCCTTCAACATTCTCTACAATACATATATATATATATATATATATATATATGACGTCAAACTTAACTCATTCTCTACAATATATATATCACGTCAAACTTAACTTATTCTCTACAATATATATATCACGTCAAACTAAACTCATTCTCTACAATATATATATCACGTCAAACTTAACTTATTCTCTACAATATATATATCACGTCCAACTAAACTCATTCTCTACAATATTTATCACGTCAAACTAAACTCATTCTCTACAATATTTATTACGTCAAACTAAACTTATTCTCTACAATATATATATCACGTCAAACTAAACTCATTCTATACAATATATATATCACGTCAAACTAAACTCATTCTCTACAATATTTATTACGTCAAACTAAACTTATTCTCTACAATATATATATCACGTCAAACTAAACTCATTCTATACAATATATATATCACGTCAAACTAAATTCATTCTCTACAATACATATATATATATCACGTCAAACTAAACTCATTCTATACAAAATATATATCACGTCAAACTAAACTCATTCTCTACAATATATATATATATCACGTCAAACTAAACCCATTCTATACAATATACATATCACGTGAAACTAAACTCATTCTCTACAATATTAAACTAAACTCATTCTTTACAATATTTATCACGTCAGACTAAACTCATTCTCTACAATATATATCACGTCAAACTAAACTCATTCCATACAATATATATATCACGTCGAACTAAACTCATTATCTACAATATTTATCACGTCAAACTAAACTCATTCTATACAATATATATCACGTCAAACTAAACTCATTCTATACAATATATATATCACGTCAAACTAAACTCATTCTCTACAATATAAATCACGTCAAACTAAACGCATTCTCTACACTATATATATCACGTCAAACTAAACTCATTCTATACAATATATATATCACGTCAAACTAAACTCATTCTCTACACTATATATATCATGTCAAACTAAACTCATTCTCTACAATATATATATCACGTCCAACTAAACTCATTCTCTACAGTATATATATATCACGTCCAACTAAACTCATTCTCTACAATATATATATATCACGTCAAACTAAACTCATTCTATACACTATATATATATATATCACGTCAAACTAAACTCATTCTCTACAATATATATATATATATATCACGTTAAACTAAACTCATTCTCTACAATATACATATCACGTCAAACTAAACCCATTCTATACACTATATATATATATCACGTCAAACTAAACTCATTCTCTACAATATATATATATCACGTCAAACTAAACCCATTCTCTACACTATATATATATCACGTCCAACTAAACTCATTCTCTACAATATATATATATATATCACGTCAAACTAAACTCATTCTCTACAATATACATATCACGTCAAACTAAACTCATTCTCTACAATATTTATCACGTCAAACTAAACTCATTCTCTACAGTATATATATATCACGTCAAACTAAACTCATTCTCTACAATATATATATCACGTTAAACTAAAGTAATTTTTAAGTGTAATTAAAATTTGATATGTTTTCAACCAAAACTCTTCTTATTAAAGCGATTTAAAAAAGAAAAACTTTTTGAATTTCTTTTTTGTAACCGGATACTTTTGCTCCTTTCATACTTGTGCGTTAAATCGGAACTAAAGGAACTTTGAAATAACAAAGTCGCACCGGAACTGCTGCTGCATGTAGGTTTGACATTTTCTTCTGTCTAGACTGGAAGGATCTATATATATATATATATATATATAATTCCTTCACAAGTTTTAAACAACTCTCAAAGTGAGCATGCCCAATTATCAACAGTACCCTTAAACCTTTATCTGATTAATAATGTGGAAGATATCGTCGTTGTCCTGGCTTGAATTAAGTGTCTAGTTCTGACGCAAGTCACTCTAAGATGGATCTCGAGAAATCACAAAAAATATCACATTCATACCAAGTCAGCCAAAAATTTTCAAGAAACCGTTGTGAATCGGACATGACCCACTTTCATGAAATAACATCTTCTGTTCCTTTAAGACAATCCTTGCCATTTCACCTGCTTACATTATTTTCTTTTATCAGGTTTATTTATAACACTCTCCGCTGAAACTAACTATTTATTCAGATCGTGCATTGCAGTAAACCTGACCGAAAGCTTGGTTTAGGGGGAAAATTGGTTGCAATATATTTATAAATGAATTTTGAGTTATGGACAAATTAACCTTTATTATGTTTTCTATTTTTTTAAAGAAAGCTTTGGATCGTATTATCTACATGTTCATGGGAAAATAAAAACATGTAAAATAACATATAATAGAAAATGTAGTTGATTAAATAAAAGAATATTAACATACCTAAACTATCAATTATGCTTGCTGGGTTCAGGCTTCCATGTTTCGTATCATCTACCGTTATTATAACAACCTAATAATTTTGATATAATGAAAATAATAATAAAATAATATTAAATATACAAATGTAATAATAATATAATTGATATATTATGTTTATCTAACCTGATTAATTGATCTTGAAACTACTTCGATAAAGTTCTTTTCCTACAAAATAAAAATCAGGAATAACAAGATTCATGAAATCATGATATAAATAATACAAAGTCAATTAGAAATCATGAAATCATTAATATCAAGATCATGAGAAATCATGAAATCATTAATAACAAGATCATGAGAAATCATGAAGTCAATAATATCACGATTATGAGAACTCATGAAATCATGAATATCAAGATCATGAGAAATCATGAAGTCATTAATAACAAGATCATGAGAAATCATGAAGTCAATAATATCACGATCATGAAAACTCATGAAATCATGAATATCAAGATCATGAGAAATCATGAAGTCATTAATATCAAGATCATGAGAAATCATGAAGTCATTAATAACAAGATCATGGGAAATCATGAAGTCAATAATATCAATATCATGAGAAATCATGAAATCATTAATATCAAGATGACTAAACTCTTTAATTTTTTACATCTTCCTAAAAGAATTCAGCCCTCTATCTATTTACTTTTATAAACAAACTCTTTAAATCTCTCAAATAGTAATAAAACTCTCAAACTCTGTCTTAACCTGTCTGAGAACTATCTAATGATTTTGGGTGAAAAGAAAGATTGACTAAACTCTTTAATTTTTTCATGAGAAATCATGAAATTATTAATTGCAAGATCATGAGAAATCATCAAATCAATAATTACAAGATCATGAAAAATCATAAAATCATTAATAATAAAATCATGAGAAATCATGAAGTCAATAATATCAAGATCATGAGAAATCATGAAATCATGAATAACAAGATCATGAGAAATAATGAAATCATTAATAACAAGATCATGAGAAATCATGAAATCAATAATTACAAGATCATGAGAAATCATAAAATCATTAATAACAAAATCATGAGAAATCATGAAGTCAATAATATCAAGATCATGAGAAATCATGAAATCATGAATAACAAGATCATGAGAAATAATGAAATCATTACTATCAAGATCATGAGAAATCATAAAATCATTAATAACAAGATCATGAGAAATCAATAAATCACGAATAAAAAGGTCATGAGAAATAATGAAATCAATAATATCAATATCATGAGAAATAATGAAATCAATAATATCAAGATCATGAAAAATCACAAGATCATGAAAAATCAATAAATCACTAATAACAAGATCATGAGAAATAATGAAATCAATAATATCAAGATCATGAAAAATCAATAAATCACTAATAACAAGATCATGAGAAATAATGAAATCAATAATATAAAGATCATGAGAAATAATGAAATCTGAATAACAAGATCATGAGAAATCATGAAATCATTAATATCAAGATCATGAGAAATCATGAAATCAATAATAACAAGATCATGAGAAATCATGAAATCATTAATAACAAGATCATGAGAAATCATGAAATCAATAGTAACAAGATCATGAGAAATAATGAAATCATGATGAAAATAATATTAAGATCATGAGAAATCATGAAATCATTAATAACAAGATCATGAAAAATCATGAAATCATTAATATCAAGATCATGAAAAATCAATAAATCACTAATTACAAGATCATGAGAAATCATAAAATCATTAATAACAAGATCATGAGAAATCATGAAATCAATAATAACAAGATCATGAAAAATCATAAAATAATTAATTACAAGATCATGAGAAATCATAAAATCATTAAAACAAGATCATGAAAAATAATGAAATCATTAATATCAAGATCATGAAAAATCATGAAATCATTAATATCAAGATCATGAAAAATCATGAAATCATTAATAACAAGATCATGAGAAATCATGAAATCATTAATAACAAGATCAAGAGAAATCATGAAGTCAATAATATCAAGATCATGAGAAATCATGATATCATTAATGTAAAGATCATGAGAAATTATGTTATTATTAATTACAAGAACATGGCCAATAAGTGTCAAATACTCTCCCTTGTTTACCTTTTAAATGACCAAGAAGTCTCCAATACTCTCCCTTGTTTACCTTGACAGTGACCAAAAAGTCTCCAATCCTCTCCCTCATTTACCTTGAAAATGGCCAAAAAGTCTCCAACACTCTCTCTTGTTTTACTGGAAAATGGCCAAGAAGTCTTTAATACTTTCCCTTGTTTGACAATGGCCAAGAAGTCTCCAATACTCTCCCTTGTTTACCTTGACAATGGCCAAGAAGTCTACAATCCTCTCCCTCATTTACCTTGAAAATGGCCAAAAAGTCTCCAATACTCTCTCTTGTTTTACTTGAAAATGGCCAAGAAGTCTTTAATACTTTCCCTTGTTTACCTTGACAATGGCCAAGAAGTCTCCAATACTCTCTCTTGTTTACCTTGACAATGGCCAAGAAGTCTCCAATACTCTCCCTCATTTACCTTGAAAATGGCCAAAAAGTTTCCAATACTCTCCCTTGTTTACCTTGACAATGGCAATAAAGTCTCCAATACTCTATCTTGTTTACCTTGACAATGGCCAAGAAGTCTCTAATTTCTCCAATACTCTCCCTTGTTTACCTTGACAACGACCTATGTCGTCTCCAATACTCTCCCTTGTTTACCTTGACAATGGCAAGAAAGTCTCCAATACTCTCCCTTGTTTACCTTGACAATGGCCAAGAAGTCTCCAATACTCTCCCTTGTTTACCTTGACAATGGCCAAGAAGTCTCCAATACTCTGTCTTGTTTACCTTGACAATAGCCAAGAAGTCTCCAATACTCTCTGGAGAAATGTAAACTACAATTTTCTTCTCCAACCCTCGACTGCCCAGGCAAGTAGTAATCAGAACTTTATCAACATGACCTGATTTAGTTTTATAAAATATTAAACCTCAAATTAATATGAATAAATGATTAGATTTATACAGAAACTGTTTGTGCACTGAGTAATATCCCAAACTTATAATTATTTAGTTAGCATTTTTTACAAAAACAGAGTGAGAATTCCAGCGTTAATCTCGTCCATCTCCCTTTTCTTTCTAAATTGTCACTGAGAATTTTTTATTTGACACTAAGCTATTTCTAAATAGTGGCCAGGGAAGGGAATGAATAGCGAAGAAGAAGTTAAACCACGAAACACCAGTTCCACCAGTTCTTTTGTGAACTGGGTCAAGCTAAAGAGAAGTGCGGTTTAATTTAATCTATGTAGTTCAACCACTTCTCCCATCAATAAATCTAATTTTATTAAATTAGTAAACACATCATTTGGTGTAAAGAGAAGATATGACAACATTATATTTTGCTATGTAAATTATTAATGAATAAGGACGACATTCTTACCCAGAGCACTCCCGCTGGCCTCCATTCTATCATCTGGATTTGAAGATTCATTTCTAACAAAAAATTTAACTAAATTGTTAAACTTGTACAGTCGTCCTCGTATATATACATACAATGAAGACGACTTTCTAGTTTTATTTCTGCCAAGCTTTCAAGCATTAAACATAGCGAGAAATAAAAGCTGTTAATTTTAGAGCTTAGAGCTGTTTAATAGTAAATTTATTATTTGAAATTTTTCTGTTCTAGTGTCTGTATACCTGTAATGAGGGTTAGACCAGGTATCGCTCTCATAGATAACAAAATCTATATCAACAATATGCAGAGCTTGTCCTGTAATAAATACAGTAAATACATATGATCACATTAAACAGCTAGCTAGCTGTCTAACGTAATTTCAAGTGACACTACCTTTACAGAGAGTATTCACAAAACAGTATCTATTAGATTGAGGTCTAACCAAGGGAGTAAGGAATAGAAGGGAGATATAACTGACGCGGTTCGCCCTACCATATGATTATACATGCTTTGCAGACGGGTACTTCATTTATACAAAAAATATTTGTCTGATGTACATTTACTGCGTATACAATAACCTATTCTGAATATTTCATATACAAATGGAGTACCCGTCTGAAAAGCATTTATAGTCATATGGTAGGGCGAACCGCGTCAGTTATATCTCCCTTCTATTCCTTACTCCCTGGTCTAACCAAGGATGAATGATAGATTAATTTTTTAGTTTTAAATCAATTACTTTCAATTGTGTTTCTCTGTGCAAGTGCAAATTAATTCTACAGAGACAATAAAGAAAATTGTCAGATTTTAACACATTTAAAAAAAAGAAAACGACGCCAAATATTGATTGATATTTAGCTGTATAGCTAGGTTTAAATAAGAAATTATTAGAATTGGGGTGAATTGAGAAGTTATGAGAATAGATTTTATAAATAGTGGTTTATCAATTTGGACTGATATTATAGTTTGGCCATCAAATTACATTTTTGTCATTTTTTAATGACAAAAAAAGGGGAATAGGCTGATCAGTCTATACCCCTTTAATTCAAATCTTACGAATTAGGATATTAAGTACAAAAAATGTAAGCTTACCTAATCTCTTAAGTAAATGAATTGAGTTTGTGTCACAACAAATCAACAGATCACTGAAATCAACCATTTTATCAAGATTATAAAACTTATAAATAAATATAATATTGAATTAAGTACACGCTGAACATTGCGATCAGAAAATATAACAGGTTTTTCAGGATTTCGAACTTACGGAAAGGAAAATTAGAAAATTTGGTTCGAATTACGAACGTTATCAAAAGAAATTAAGTTTTTGCCGCACACACTAATTTTTTTAATCCCTAAATCTTTGCAAACAATTATAAATGTAAAAGGTATACAACACCAGGTTGCAAAAATATAAGAATTATTTGAAGTATATAATTTTTCAAAATTTTCGTGATTTAAAATGCTCTTTCAACAGTTTAATATTTTGAAGAAAATGTGAGGGTTTGATTTTAATCTCTTCAATACAATTAAACCTTGTAGTTTATTCAACTTTTCCTCATCTTCAATACAATTAAACCTACTTAATACAACATGAACTAATATCCAATTATACAGCTGGAGTAGTTACTTTGACCAACTTTTTCCGCAAAGCATCCCCCATTTATTAATGTTTTGTAGGCGAAATATTGAAATTATCAAAAATTCCTTGTACAGGGTGGTCTACAAAACTTGATAGTAGATAGGTGACTTGAATCTCGTCCTTGATCTTCGAAAGATTTTATAATTTAAAACATTGAACATTTGTAAACAAAAGTTCAGAAGTAAATTTCAGAGTATACAGAGCATATCCAAATTATGGTCTGCCTTTTTTTTGTGCTATCAATACATATTTTGATTTTTCAAATATGAAATACAACGAAAATTGTCGAAATCAGAACCGGTTAAATTAAAAGCACACACAGGCAGACCTAGGCAGTAGGCAGGCCAGGACAAGGCGAAGCTTTACAATATTTTTCTTCAAAAATCATATATGTTAAAGTAGGTCGATATACTAATGCCGCAAATTATTCACGTACTTCTGGTGTCAAGAATTTAAGAGTTTTCTGCTTGTCTTGTTTTTAAATTTTTAAACTTTTTAATGTTATTTTATGAAAATGATTCCTGAGTTTGATTTTATTTTCTTTCGCTCCATATTTCTTCCGCTGACTTGCTGTTTTTGTATCCAACTGGAGCAAAGACAACATGTAATCGATGATAAAAGCAAGCCTGAAAAAATATTAAGATATAAAAATGAAACAGAGAGACAAAATTAAATTCGATCTTAATGATTTTCAAACAATTCTTATTACTTTCCCAATGATTTACTATAGACAACTCTGACCATTGTCCGTTAAACCATAAAAAAAATGACACAATTTGGTTCATAGAAAAGGCATGGCTCTTCATAAATTGCCGATAAGAAAAAAATGAAGAATCTACATTATCAAAATAAATGTATTCCAATTGAAACGGTTTGAAACGTTTACGGCCCTGAACAGTTTCAATAATATTTTCTTAATTCTCGCCTTGGTACAAAGCATCCACAATATTTATTATCTGACTTCCATCTCAGGGACGGATTATCCTTGCAAATACATTTCGGCATTGGGAGCCATATTGGAGTATTCTCGTCCTCATTTCCATTTATCCTTGCCTGGAATATGGAATTTATTATTAACCTGTACAGTTTGTTTGTCCTCTAACGTTGGGCTCTTTGCCTTCAATGCCAGTTGTTTCTGTGCAATAAAAATCAATATACCGAATATCTATTGAATAACTAAGCAAACACTTTTTCAGGTGTGCAAATAATTTTATAAGTGCAGTTTTCAACAAAAACATTTTATTTAATATTTACTATTTGCAATACTGAAAAATAATTACAAGCAAAATATAAATTATTCTATCAAGTAGAACTAAAGACAACAAAAAAAGGTAGTTTTTCCACACACAAAAAAATGAGAAAACAAACCTTCGCGGCATGGAAACTGTTCTGCGCACTCTGTGACAGGTTGTAATATTCCCGCATTAAAACTAAAACTGGTTTCTGGGAACGCATCACTTGGCTGAAGAAGGAAACCTAAAAATAATTTTACTTTATGGAATATTTGACGTAGTTTTTATGTATCCCTCTGTCAAAGTAATTACGTACCCTATTCACAACAGTACCATTTAAATCTTTGTTTGAGAAAAACTGATGATTTGTTCTTTAATTTTTTTTCTCTGAAAAAAGCTTATATATTTCTTATTGGTTTTCAGATATGACTTAATGTGTACTATTGTGTGTGGCGGGTACGTAACTCTAACAATAGAGGATTCCTTCAGCTAGGAAACCCATATTCTTATCTTTAAAGTTCTCTTACATTATTCATGATAAAAACGTCAAATGATTTAAACTAACCTGGAATGATTGAGGTAGATGGAACATATTGCCGCCGGTCACATTAGTTCTTAGTAATTCTTCAAGGAAGAAATCTGTTAGAACATGATTATTCTCATCCCGGTCATCCTTAATAATGATGTCGATTATAATGATAATGATGATGATGATGATAATGATAATAATGATGATGATGATGATGATGATGACGATGAATGTGCACCTGGAACCAACCCGGTCATCCTTAATAATGATGTCGATTATAATGATAATGATGATGATGATGATGATGATGATGATGATGATGATGATGATGATGATGATGATGATGATGATGACGATGAAAGTGCACCTGGAACCAAAGATAAAGAGGTAGACGAGATGTTAACCAAACATTAGACTCCTGACTCAAGCTTCCAATCATTTCCTCCCAACTAGAAATAAATTAAAAACGTTTGGTTGGAGATAAGTTAAAAAATCAATTCCAAAATTAAAACTTTAGAATTCAAATACTAAAGTTTTTAAAAATGAGAACATAGTTTTGAATCCTGGCTTTGTTCTTTGCTGTAAAAAGGCCTATTTTATAAATTTCTCTTTGCTTGAACGGCCATATTATGTCTTTCTCTTTGCATAACGCTAGTAACAGTTTTATTTGAACTTTTGTTATCTTTTTTGTTACAATTATATTACTATTGTAAATATAGGGTTCTAATGTAACACAAAGTTATCAATGAATAATTCTAATAAATGGGTAAAACTTAAAAACCATATATAATGACGTTTTAATGTGAGGATGGTAAGAAACAAGAAGAAAGAAATTGAGTTTTTGTCACAAACTCTGATTTTCTTATCCCTATATCTTTGCATTTCAATGTCAGTGACCTTAGATATTTCAAACAATGAATTATTTCAGTTCAAATAATAATAGTTTGAAATATCAAAGGTTAACACCTTCAAGTTGCTAAGATATAGCAATTTGAAAATCAGAATTTGTGGCAAAAACTCAAATCCTTTTCTCAAAAATGTTTAAAAGTGAATATTGGGAAAATAAAAGTTTTCCCATTTAAAAGTTTTGAGAATACACGTTTTCTAACATTTTAACGTTTTCTAACATGCAATCAAACACTGTAACATTTCGAAGACTAAAAACAAAACACAAAAACTCAGTGTAGACTCAGACACTAATTTTCAATTAATAATTCTCCGATTTAGAGCAATGTATCCCAAAAATCTACAATTTAGAGCAAAGTATCCCAAAAATCTACAATTTAGAGCAAAGTATCCAAAAAATCTAAAATTTAGAGGAATGTAGTAAAAATCAACAATCTAAAACAGTGCATGATGTAGCAACAAATCTACAATTTAGAGAAATGTAGCCACAAATCTACCATTTAGAGGAATGTAGCCACGCATTTCCAATTTAGAGGAATGTAGCGACAAATCTACAATTTAGAGGAATGTAGCCACACATTTCCAATTTTAAGGAATGAAACCACAAATTTACAATTTAGAAGAATGTAACAATAAATCTACAATTTAGAGGAATGTAAGTAAAAATCTACAATTTAGAGAAATGTAACTAAAAATCTACAATTTAGAGGAATGAAGTAAAAATAAACAATTTAAAACAGCGCAATGTAGCGACACATCTACAATTTATAGGAATGTAGCCACAAATCTACAAGCTAGAACAATATAGCCATAAATCTATTTCAGAGTAATGTAACTTCAAATCTACAACATAGAGGAATGTAGACACAAAGGAATTGAGTCCTTGCCACAAATTCTGATTTTCTAATGCCCATATCTTTTGAACCATATGTCGTAAACCTTTAATATTTCAAACTTATATTATTTAATTTAACAGAAGTCATAGTTTGAAATGTCAAATGTCTACAACATTGGACTGCAAAGATATAGGAATTAGAAAATCAGAGTTTGTGACAAAGATTCCTTTACAATTTAGAGGAAGCCACAAATCTACAATTTAGAAAAATGTAGCAACAAATCTACAATTTAGAAAAATGTAAACACAATCTATAAGAAAAATAATGAAAACTAAAATAAATTAAAAATAATTTACCCAGATGATTTGTCCTCAAGGAATGAAGAGAAAGGCATCTCGTCAATAAAGATATGAATCTGTGTACCGGGACTTTGTTTTATCTAAAGCAGAACACATTTTGACTAAAATCTTTTATGTAAAAATATCTTAATTACATTTTCTCAGATAAACTGTGAACCATTCATGGCAAATAAACAGACTGTACTGTGTACACGGACTAATTCTAAGTGAATTTCCATTTTAATAATGGCAGTACGATTCAAATAATAAACAACAATGAGAAAGATATCGCCTTTTATTCATTCTAGAACTTGCTGAATTCCAACAGTTTCCGTCAATGTCTAAGGTTTAAAGGGTAAAGCATAAACTATTAATCAAAGCTCCTGAAATTGGAGATACGTTTACGGCTCCTTTAATTTACCTTGCCCAATACACACTGAGTAAGGAATCCAGGTATATCCTTGACCTTAGCGGTCATCCCGTCCTGTAAGCGAACCAGCTGCCTCATTGAGGCAATCACTACCTAAACCAAGTTCTAAATATTCTCTTATTTATCAATATTTCCTTCAGATATTAAGAGAATCTGCAAAAATTAGACAAAAATCGTCAAGTTTGTCTTCAGTGAACAACAAAACAAAGAAAAATATTGATAATTTGGTCGAAAATAGTATTTGAGTTTTTTTCCCTTGTCTAGCTTTCAAAATACACTTCGGTCAATTATTTCGACATTTTATGATGTAAACCTTTAACAATATTTCAAATTTTAATATTTTAAATAGTATACTTGATCTTGCAAAATTCAAAATTTGAAATATCAACGACGTTTACGACATTTCCTATTGAACAATATTAGGATTAGAAAATCAGAGCTTGAGGCGAGTAATCAGTTCTCTTATATATAAATGTAATATTTATATTATATGTATATTTAGTAATATGTGTCTGTATTTATTTATATTCTGAAGAATATAATCTCTTAACCCACACCCGAAAATACCCTTTGACCGAATATATTGAATTGTAGAGAAGTCGCTGAACAACCTGGTTAAAATAATAAATCTCCGATTCAAACTTAAAGATTTATGAGAAGTTGCATCGGTGATTCAAAATTTGAATGGTAAATTCAAAATATTCGGCTTCTTGAATACTTTAATTAAGTACACATACACTTTACAGTCTAATTACCTTGCATACTACTTTATCTCTCCTTCAAACAAAACTAGCAGAAAAAAGACAGCAAACTAATTTTTTTATGCTCTTCACTCTTCAGTTTCAGATTTGAAAAGTGTTATAGCTCTGAGTTCTAGAGGGGGTCACTGCCCTCTTGCCCCCCCCCCTGTCTACGCACTTTGCGTGGCAGGGGTTTATAAAAATAAAACGGATCTTCTAAAAGTTAGTATTTTGTTAACTAAACAATCCAGAAATATTTTGTCCATGAAAAAGGGTACTCACTAAAATACTGAAGTTTCTAGGAGTCCCAAAATAGCTCAGTGCTTCAAAGCCTGAGCCACAAACTAGTTACCCCCCCCCCCCAGCATTATTAAATAAAACGTCAATTTGATTTCTCCTTCTGTTTAATTAATCTGATAAATTACTGGAGACAGTCATATACCTCCATTATTAATGATGATGGATCATATTTAGCAGACAGAATATATTCAAAGTATTTGTTTTGGTTTTAAATAATTTAATTAAATCATATTTAGATAGATCTAGATTAACAAGGCATAAACTAATCCCGCGATTACGAAAAAAAAGATTTCATTTCAAAAACAAGAATTTCAGATATCACATAAATTTTATGGCACAATTCAACAATGATAACTGCAAACTAGCCAAAAGAAGAAGTTAGTAGTACGGCTTTGTGTCATCGTAGCTTCTCTCGTTTTGTATTTACACACAAGTATGAGAAAGGCAAATCCATACGGTTACATCTTATACATTTAAAACAATTTTGTTCTTTTCGATAGGTCTTCAATAATTGTATGATTATATATATATTATATTATATTATATATATATATATAGTTCAATCTTGCAAAGAGGTACATGGAACTGATATCTTGATGATGCTTACACATAGAACAAGATTCAATCGAAAGAATTCATGTCTTTCCGACGGGTTAGGATACTTAATAACAGCTAACCAGGTCTGTTATTGGAGATTATTTAAAGCTTTCAGTAGCAAAATCTGGATCCAGCTAGGTAAGAACCTCCATTCTCCAGGGTAATACAGCTTTAAAAGATTAATGCAGACCTTCATCTTAATCGTATTTTCGTTTTATTCTTTTCCATTTGTGTGCAGGGGTGTATACCCCCATGCAAACCCCTGAAAAGAGTTTCTCTAGTTTGCCATTTTCTCTCTTTCACCCTGTATCTCTGAATACTTTTAGAAGCGCCTAGCAAGTTGTTGCTTCTCTGAAAGCTAAATGTACACATGGCACAATGCACATACTTTATACATTCTGCTATACATACTGCATGTACAATTTACATTGGAATACGAATTCTTGTCCTGATATGTACATATTCATAAGAAGAAGTTAAATATTACAGCCAGTTTCTTTGATTCCTTGATAATTGTTTTTGAAACAATTTGCAGGAACAAAATAGACCTACGCAGTGCATTAGATCAGTAAAACACAGATTATTTATTTTATTTTAATTTTATTTATGTATCTATGTCCTTATGTGTTTTGTTTGATGTTTTTACACACTTTGAGAAGAATCACTATTTCTCAGTTTGCAAGTAAAAACTTACCAAATTTATTTCGAAAAGAATTGAGTTTTTGCCACAAACTTAAATTTTCTAAACCCTATCTTTGCAATCCTCGGATATTTCAAAATTAGATTTTTTCATGTAAAAGAAATTAGGATTAGAATATGAGAGTTCCCTAACACTCTGTTCATATTTTAGAAAAATGTTCGAAATTACGATTAGAAAGTGAGATATCACTAACACTCTGTTCATATTTTGGAACAAATGTTCGAAATTAGGATTAGAATGTGAGATATCCCTAACACTCTGTTCATATTTTTGAAACAAATGTTCGAAATTAGGATTAGAATGTGAGATATCTCTAACACTCTGCTCATATTTTGGAACAAAATGTGCGAGATTTCGCAAGCTTTCAATAGTTCGATATCACAAACAAAGTAACAAAGAATTGTAAATATTTGTACCTTAACATGTATTTCCGGAGGAAGAAGATCATTACTAAATACATTCTTCTCAACTGTAATCAACTCACTGTAAAAGGACTGTTCAGATACTAGAGGTGATAAATAGTTCCGCCAATATGTAATATATAGTTTTGGACTGGTTCAATTTACTGCGGAAGATCGCAAAAAATAATAATCAGAGTAATATAAAAGCAGGTAAATTATGTGGGAAATAATTGCGTATTTGCCACAAATTCTGATTTTCAAATCCATATATCTTTGCAACCTAATGTCGTAGACCTTAGATATTTCAAATTATAAATTCTGACGGATCAAACAATCTAAGTTCGAAATATGAAAGAATTATTGAAGGATGCAAAGATTTATGGACTAGATAATTCGAGTTTGGGGCAAAGACTTCAATTATTTACAATTTTGTTTTTATAACGTAGTGGATTAGAATTTATATTGATATATCTGCATAATCTTTTCATGCTTGCATTTTAATTACTTTCTAACTTTGCACTTTTCAAAGTATAATGTAATATTTCAAATATTTGACAGATGTTCGTATTTTCTTTGGTAAACTTTGATTTTTCTGAAAATATTGATTGTAAGAAAATAGTGTTCTATTTACCTGTACTTTCTGTTAATTGACATCAAGAAGTGAGATAACATACATTCGTTCAAACTAATATTCATTTAAATTAAACATTTTGCAACATTCTTTTGTTTAAGATAAATTGGTCTAAAAATTTAGTATTTTTTAAAAATTCAAAAATAATGGTTTTCTGTTGTAAGTAGCTTTTTAAATCAAAAAATAAATAAACCAGACTAATGTTTAATTGTTTGTATTTTTAAATCAAAAAATAAATAAACCAGACTAATGTTTAATTGTTTGTGTTTTTAAATAAAAAAATAAAAAAACCAGACTAATGTTTAATTATTTGTATTTTTAAATCAAAAAATAAATAAACCAGACTAATGTTTAATTATTGAATACAATTCCTAAGTTTTTATATAAAAAAATAAATAAAACAGACTAATGTTTAATTATTGAATACAATTCCTAAGTTTTTAATTCAAAAAATAAATAAACCAGACTAATGTTTAATTATTGAATACAATTCCTAAGTTTTTAAATAAAAAAATAAATAAACCAGACTAATGTTTAATTATTGAATACAATTCCTAAGTTTTCCACTTTCTTCTACATCCGCAAAAGAAAAGAGATAAAGTACCGAATCCGTCTGAACAGTTTAATTTAAAAATTATAATTTAAAAGATAAATATGTATTTTGATCATTTTTACCTTAGAATAATGAAGATCCCAAGCTGTTTGTCGAACCTGAAGTATCAAATTAAATAAAAAGTGTTGCCATTTCTTTTCTTCATAATTTGTTTGCTATTTAGTTCAAAGTTTTTAAAGTTTATTCTGAATCAATGTTACCATTTTCTAAATAATATCATATCATTTTCATTCTGGCTCAGAAAAATAATTCAAAGTAATTCAAAGAAGAAATTATTAAGTTTCAGTGTCTAGAAATGTATCTCCCATTTACACAATTAACATGCACCCCTGCCTCTTTAGTAAAAGTAAATTCAACAATATATATATGAAGCATAAAGTCTGACCGCGTCAACCTTGTTGAACCGGCTAGTCCGTGCGGTACAGTACAATCTGGGACCGGAAAGGTTGACCCGGCTCGGAAATTCAAATGTACTACGGTTGTGCGTGTTAAGTATATGAGCAATCACTTTAAAATCAAGTGCTGTTAAATTATCTGAATCAAATTCTTCACCTTTTCTATCAAGAGCTGTGTTTTTCCTGATCCGTATTCACCAAACAGAACTCTATATTATTATTATTATTATTACAGATTTATTTCGTACTCAAAGGACAAATGGGCGTCAAACATTATGGAAATCCAACTTATAGAAATCGCATGGTATTGCAACAAGGCGTATTTTCCGGGAGAACATTTTTTATAATTTTGAGAAATTAAATCAATGTAAAGTAGATATAATTTTCATAAAATCCTTTATTTAAATGGTAACACGGAATTTTATGAAATTATATTAGCATTACTGGAGAACTTTTTTTATATTATTAAGAATTTTTTTTGTAAAAAAAAAAACTGTACATATGATTTTCATAAAATAGTTTTTATATTAGTCTAGTAACACACAATTTTATGTACTCATCCTTCCGATCTTAGTAAAATGTTAGTTAAGAAACAAATGAAATATTTTGATGTCCCATTGGAACATGAATGGAAAGTTCCGGTTTTACAAGAACTTTTAAGTACAAGAATGAATAATTTATATGTTGAAGGATTCGATGATTACGTAATAACTGAAATGATAAATATGTTATGTAGTGAGTAAAAATCAATGTTTTCTATTTGTGCACAATTTTGCATATTTTTTTTCTCTTTTCTTTTGGAAACCTGTATTTTCAAATAAAATTATTTAAACAAATTTTAACTACACCATTTATATATGTATTTATATCTTTGTGTGTGAATAAATCTTTATAATAATAATATAATCATTCATTAATGTTGTCTGCAGAACACAATAAAATCTGGGGAGACTTTAAACACAATAGAGAGCAGTACAAATGTACATATTAAACTAGTTAGAATAGATTCTTTTTGGTAGTATAGTGTCTAGGCTATGCTAAAAAATAGAAATAATGCTAATGATACAGCTTTTATGTAAATCACAATGGTCTAAAAACTTTATACGAAGTTTGTCTAGCCTTGTCTACCTTAAAGAATACATTTTTATGCATATTTATCACATTTTTATGCATATTTATCACATTTTTGTGCATATTTATCACATTTTTATGCATATTTATCACACTTTTATGCATATTTATCACATTTTTATGCATATTTATCACATTTTTGTGCATATTTATCACATTTTTATGCATATTTATCACATTTTTTGCATATTTATCACATTTTTATGCATATTTATCACATTTTTATGCGTCCTAAATATGCAACCTTACAAGTTTGATATCAATGTAAGTCCTAAATGTGCATTCTCGTTGCACGTCTTCAAAGTATTTTCTCAATTCTTGTCTGGAATGTGCGTCCAAATTCGTAATTATAGTACATAACTATAAACGCACTTTGCCCGCATAAGAAATTTTAAAATAATTTCAGCTAATCTGAAGAACACGTAGAAGTTCTCTTTGTTTTGTCTTAGATTAAGAATAATAAGAACTGCGTAAGGTAAGAAAAATACAGTAAGGATACCTGTGTTTTACAGTTGAAGTGAATATTTCAAACTGTTGAGGGGACATCAGAACTTTACAAATATGTTTGGATTTTTGGATCTTTACAATTGTTTTGGCATTTGTCGGTTTTATTCGTTCTCTTCTAGCATTCAAGATATCCTCTTCTTCCCCATCCTCATCTTCATCCTCCTCCTCCTCCTCATGCATGTTCTGCTGAGGGGTTTTCATAAGAACGTATAATCCTGCCAGCCGTGTTATTAGTTCAACAAAAAGGGAGCTTGACAGTGGGGTTTTATTCGCCAGCCGCTTAGAACACCAGACCTTGAAGTGTGCCGAAGTATCAATGTGCCGATGGTTAAGGGTGAAGCTGGAACAATTTCGGCACACTAGCTCTTCAGACAGAGGGTTACTAAAAAAACATAATTATAACTTAGAGACTATTGTATTCCATACGTGTGATTGAAGAATAGAATATAACAGAATTTACCTAATATTATGAAGAACAAGGATAGAATATAACAGAATTTACCTAATATTAGGAAGAACAAGGATAGAATATAACAGAATTTACCTAATATTAGGAAGAACAAGGATAGAATATAACATAATTTACCTAATATTATGAAGAACAAGGATAGAATAGAACAGAATTTACCTAATATTAGGAAGAACAAGGATAGAATAGAACAGAACTTACCTAATATTATGAAGAACAAGGATAGAATATAACATAATTTACTTAATATTAGGAAGAACAAGGATAGAATATAACATAATTTACCTAATATTATGAAGAACAAGGATAGAATATAACATAATTTTCCTAATATTAGGAAGAACAAGGATAGAATATAACAGAACTTACCTAATATTAGGAAGAAAAAGGATAGAATATAACATAATTTACCTAATATTAGGAAGAACAAGGATTCCTGTGAAATGAACGGATTGTTTAAGAACAAGATCCTAAACAAGAAAACACTGACGATTGAAATCAACTTTTTAAAAGCATTTTACTTTAAATAGCAATTTTACTCTAAAATCAATTTCTGTAGATTCCTACGCGCGACGACTTTTATCATATTTTCAAAAAAAAGAATGACCTTAAAGTGACTGTCCATTCACAAAATATACATGCACAAATCACAATACTACCCACCAAGCCATTAACTGAGTGAAACTGACATCATTGTTGTGCGGTTTCTTTTTAAAAGCGATTTGCGGATATTGCAACAAAGCCAAAAAAGGAGAATGATTGAATTAATCGCATTTAGAAAACGACAGTCTTTCTCATTGTTACTCAAAAAGGCTTAAAAGGGTATCATTGTAAACGAAGGTTCACTTAAAATCACGTTGACAGCCATAACGAACTTCATTTATAGATGTGTCAATTGTTTTTAAAAAAGCCAGTAAGTTCAAAATTAAACTTGGCCATATAATAAAACAAGACATTTGTATATATCTTCCCTATAGACGGCCGAACTGCTGGACCGAATGGGCTGACATTTTTTAGGGAACCCAGGGGTATCCCGGGTGAGCCATATAGGCTAAAAAATTCAATAATTTGGTTTTCTTCTTATTCCATGGGCAACGCCGGACACTTCAGCTAGTATATATATATAACCAATCTTAATAAACAATAAACATGTTCTAGACTTATTTTTAGAATATATATATATATTTTAAAAATCAGCTTCAAATTAAAATATTTAAATACATTTCAGGATCTCACTTTATAAGATGTTTCATACGGCAATCATCAGTATATATAAATATATCACGCAAATCTGCCCCTTTAGTAAAAGTAAATTCAATATGAAGCATAAAGTCTGACCGCGTCAACCTTTTTGCATTGGCTAGTCATATAAATAGAGCTAGGTACAGTACAAACTCGGCCCGTAAAGGTTGACCCGGCTCGGAAATTCAAATGTACTCAGGCTGCCCGTGATATATATATATATATATAGAGAGATATTTAAATCGCCAGTTTTCCCTGTATTATTCTCCACAAGAATATACAGTCTTTATCCAGGTTCTGTTTGGCAGCTTTTATTCTAAACCAATCAAACAATCAATTAATTTTTATAAGCTAAAATACAAAATACCCCAAATCCTGGCATTTCCAAAAAGAGATCTCCCACTTTAGTTTAAGTAGATGTAAATATTTCCATTTACTAATATAGCGCCGATTGAAGGATTCATAACTCTAATTGGATAATGAGATAGATAGAAAGATAGATGTTACCGCCATGCAATTTCTATTGGTTCAGAATAGACAACAAACACATGACTGAACCCTGATTGGATCAGGCGCTAATGGACCGGCATACAGGAGTGCTGTCTTTGTTGTGATTTCAAAATTACCGAAGAGTTCAATTCAATTTATAGAAAAGAAAAATAATTTTTAAGATTTATTTTTCGTAATTTTTGTGAAACATTTTGTCACTGTATAGATAGCTAGCAAAGATCAGAAACCCGATCTTAAAGTCGTATTTCAACTGTCATGTTTAATGGAATTCCTTACTAACTGACATATATACTGGAATCTTTGAACAACAATATATCATATTTTGTCATTTACGTCACGTGTGAATAAAGGAGAGTGACAAGGTTATAAATTGAGCATACTTTTTGTTGGGGACTAATAATTTATAATTTTAGAATTGTAAAGCCCTAGAATCAATATTGTTTAGAAAGCTTTATACAAAACTAAAAAAATCAAGCATAGAAGAAAAACGATTCTAAAGTCCCATTTGACTTTAGACTCTTTGTAATGAGAACGTTACATTTCTTGACTTTTTATTTTATATATCTAATATAATGGAAAAGTTTATTTACTTTAGGCTTTATGTAAGAAGAATAGTTAAATATCTTGATTCTAGACTCTATGTAAGGAGAATAGTTTAATTCCTTGACTTTATACTCTATGTAAGGAGAATAGTTTAATTCCTTGCCTTTATACTCTATGTAAGGAGAAAAGATTTAATTTCTTGACTATAGACTTTATTTAAGGAGAAGAGTTAAATCCTTGACTTTAGACTCTATGTAAGGAGAATAGTTTAGTTCCTTGACTTTGGACTCTATGTAAGGAGAATAGTTTAATTCCATGACTTTAGACTCTTTGTAATGAGAACGTTACATTTCTTGACTTTTTATTTTATATATCTAATATAATGAAAAAGTTTATTAACTTTAGGCTTTATGTAAGAAGAATAGTTAAATATCTTGATTCTAGACTCTATGTAAGGAGAATAGTTTAATTCCTTGACTTTATACTCTATGTAAGGAGAATAGTTTAATTCCTTGACTTTGGACTCTATGTAAGGAGAATAGTTAATTCCTTGACTTTAGACTCTATGTAAGACGAATAGTTTAATTCCTTGACTTTAGACTCTATGTAAGGAAAAAATGTTAGTTTCCTTGACTTTAGACTCTATATAAGGAGAATAGTTTAGTTCCATGACTTTAGGCTCCATGAAAGGAGAATAGTTTGATACTTGACTTTAGACACCATATAAGGAGAATAGTTTAATTCCTTGACTTTAGACTCTATGTAAGGAGAAAAGTTTAGTTCCTTGACTTTTGATTCCATGTAAGGAGAATAGTTTAATTCCATGACTTTAGACTTTATTTGAGGAGAAGAGTTAAATCCTTGACTTTAGACTTTATTTGAGGAGAATTATTTAATTTCTTGACTTTAGACTTTATTTAAGGAGAAGAGTTAAATCCTTGACTTTAGACTCTATGTAAGGAGAATAGTTTAGTTCCTTGACTTTGGTCTCTATGTAAGGAGAATAGTTCAATTCCTTGACTTCAGACTCTATGTAAGGAGAATAGTTCAGTTTCTTGACTTTAGACTCTATGTAAGGAGAATAGTTTAAATCTTTGACTTTAGACTCTATGTAAGGAGAATAGTTTAAATCTTTGACTTTAGACTCTATGTAAGGAGAATAGTTAAGTTCCTTGACTTTGGACTCTATGTGAGGAAAATGGTTTAATTCCTTGACTTTATACTCTATGTAAGGAGAATGGTTTAATTCCTTGACTTTAGACTTTATGTAAGGAGAATAGTTTAAATCCTTGACTTTAGACTCTAAGTAAAGAGAATACTTTAGTTCCTTGACTTTAGAATCTATATAAGGAGAATAGTTTAGTTCCTTGACTTTAGACTCTATGTAAGGAGAATAGTTTAGTTCCTTGACTTTAGACTCTAAGTAAGGAGAATAGTTTAGTTCCTTGACTTTAGACTCTATGTAAGGAGAATGGTTTAATTCCTTGACTTTAGACTCTATGTAAGGAGAAAAGTTTTTAAATATTTATTGAATTGAAAGTAAAATAATATTGATTAATTAGATGATTTCCTTTGAGCTCTAATCTCTGTAGGATCTGCGTCTGTATCTGGTAGAACTCGGAAAAACACAATTCCATGTTTTGGCGTCATGTACAATAATCTACGCAAGAAAAAAACTTATTTATAACTTATAACATTTTAGTGGTTTTAAAACTAAGCAAAAATAACATTTCTAAAATCCAACACACACAATTTTAAATGGTAAATAAAGGCTAAAAACAATTAATGAATTTGTAAATGTTCCAAAAAAAAGAATCAAACAAAAATTTCGGCTAATTTCACTTTTAGAACTTTCCTCACTTTCAATTTCTCTATTTACCCGTAGTATTTATTGCAACCGTTAATTAACTAAATTCTAGATTAGCTGATCTAATCAAACCAACAGCTGATTAAATTCTAATATTTAGCAATTTAGAATATATTTATAAACCTTGGATTATGAAGATATTCAATTGTTCCTGAACCTTGGTTCATTTCATGCTGCTTAGCCAGGATCTTCTTGTAATAGGAACTAAACAAAAACAATATTGAACCAGAGTAAATATCGTCTTCCTTATCAAGGAAGAAATCCACGAACAAGATAAAAAAAAAATCTGCGAAATATAATTTATTTATGAACTAGAAAATGAATGTTAAAGAGAAGCTAGAGATCCTAGAGATTGTCATTCTTGTAAAATTCATAAGCTGTTTCCAAACAGAAGGAGGATGTTTTTTCAGTCATAGTTTATACACTACCAGCTTCTATATCTTCTGTCAGTGTACTGAACATTTCAACAGAACGCACCAAAAGCCTAGTTGGGGGTGTGGGGTCACCATTTCAGAAGAGCACATGCAATTTTGAAGATTTAAATTTTCTTGTTTGTGAATTTCTTCTTCTTACTGAGGAAGACGACATAGTGTCATTGTTTTAAATTATGCAAAGAAAATTTAAAATAATTTAAAGTCAGACATTTTGTAATTTATATCTAGAGATTAAGCAGTGATTTCTATCTTATGCAGATCTGCAAATTAAGTTAAATCCTCTAAGATATTCCGTGGGGCATGTTCATACCCTGCAGGTTACTTTAATTTAGGAATCAAGCATTTATCTTTAAATAAAAGTGTCCATGTTTAATATCGAGCTGGAAAGTTCAAGATTAAGAATACTTCACACATAAGTTCCACCCTCTAAGTACATATTTCTAATTCATACATCTATGCAAACTTATGCCGTAGACTCTTGATATTTCAATTTACGAATTCTGATAAACCAGTTAGTTGTAGTTTTAAGTATCATAGGATTATATTATATTGCATCATATTAAGGGATTAGAAACTTAACATTCTTAAAATTACGATAGCAGTCCCTTTAATATGATTACTTGTTATGTAATTTCAGTCATTTTTGAAAACATTTGAAGGTTAAGTTAATATATTATGTTTTCAAACATTAACGCCGCCTCAAGGTTAAAAAAGATCGATTGAAGTATATTCAGATTACAGAGTACAATTATTTACATTTACAAAAAATCAGTTATTTATTTTGATCAGGAACAGATTAATGTTTAACGAAAAAAATTAAAAAACCCTGTGGTTAAATTTTCTTTCTTTCTTAAATCTCCGCAGCTTATCTTCTTAGTTTTTTCAATTGTCTTATATTTTAAATTCAACAATAAAAATTAGCAGTTTTTCTGAATATTCGGAAATAGAAAAAAAACACATTTGGTTCTGGAATCTTAAACAATTAAACTAACAAACATCATATTCATTCACAAAAACAAACAAAGACATGGGCAATGTAACGTAAATTATAACCTGTGATGAAATATATTATCTGAGACTATAAAGCTTGCTGTCTCCTCTTGTTTACAATGGTTTATCAACATATTTCCAATGACCTTCAAAATAAAGATAAAAATTATGAAGTATTAAGACACAAGGGGACAAAAATAATAATCTGCAAAATCAAATAAATTTTATAGTATGGTTCTCCATTTTGATAAGAAAAGGGCTTTATTGATTATTCTCATAAACTTTCCCAATTTATATAATTTTCACTTTTTAAATCCCGTCAGGACATTTGTTGGAAAATGTACACTAGATTGTGACGTGTGTATTTTGCTTAATCAACTACAGTTTTATAGTCTCTGCGCAAATCATACTTTTTAAAACTAGTTGTTGTTTGTAAACAAACTTGAAGAAAGAAATGAAAGAGAAAATGAAAGGAAAGATAGTAAAAAGGGAAAAACAAAAAAAAGGAGGAGGAAGAAAAATGGAAGGAAGAAATAAGAAGAGAAAGAATGAAAAAAAAGAATGGAAGAAAGAGAAAGAATGGAAGAAAGAGAAAGAATGGAAGAAAGGAAGAAAGGAAAAACGGAAAAAGAAGAAAAGAAAGGAAGAAAGAAATAAAGGAAGAATGGGAGAAAATCGTATTTTTTTCCATTTTATTTTTAAGAAGCACTGTATATTTTTTTAACAAGTTGTCTTCATTTACCATATTATCTTGAAGAGTACTGTATATTTATTATATGAAATTTATGATGATTTTTATAAATATTCAGTGCTCTCCAAAATGAAGTGGAAAATAAAGAGGACTTATATTAAATAAACAGTGCTTCCCAAAATTGAATGGTAAACATTGACGGCTTTTCAGAAATATACGGTAATAAAAGTGAAGACGATATTTCTTTAATGTGCAATCTTTTTTCAAGAAGCACTATATGTTTATTAAAAGTCGTCTTCATTCACCATGTTATTTTGGGGAGCACTTTATATCTATGAGAAGTTGTCTTTATTTACCATTTTATCATGTAAGATTAAGGTGAAGAAAAAGTTACAATTCTTTTTATAACCCTAATAGACCATGATTAAAATCACCTCCCCCCCAGACATTTTGGTTTATTTTCATATCCCTTTCTACGTACTGCACCTATTAAAAACAATGATTAGTGCAGTTGATGAAGCTAAATACACACTTCAGAATCTAGCGTACATTTTCCAACAAATGTCCTGACGGATCTTAAATAATGGAAGAATGCAATAAGTCCTTTCTGGCATGTTAATAGCAAAAACGCTATTGAAATTTCCATTTTCTAAATATTAAAAAAATCTACGAGAAAAAAGAAATTCAGATAGGTGAAGAAAATGTTTAAAAAGGTTGTGCTGTATACCTGCAAAGCATGAGCTGGATCGACACTGCCTAACGGCTTAATTTTTGCATCTTCGAGACATCCTATACTGTTATTGGGACGTCTGAAATAATAACTTTAATTTAGTACAAAATTTGGTTCAGTCAAAATGTAATAAATCTAAGTTTACACCATCCAGTTACAAAGAAAAAGGGATTAGAAAGTAAGAGTTTAAGGGGAGATCATTTTTCTCTAGGACAAAAAAAGTTTTAAAAACTATTTAAATTATAAAATTCGTATAAACTTCGTAGAAAAAAAAACAATTTAGTTTAAACCATTGTATCTAAATATGTATTACTATACAAGAAATAAAAAATTCCTGAAGGAGCAAAACAAAATCAAAAAACATTACGCAAAGTAGGCCAAGGTGTCATTTTGTATAAACCTAAACTGTAGCATTGTAAATTATTAAATTTGCTTACAAAACATTACATAAGTTGAAGAGCTTCCAACTTTTAAATGGATTGAAATTAATTTATGATTTAAAAGATCTCTGATTGGTAAAACCTCCGATGTTTTGACCAATCAGAGATTAACTAAACTTCCCCTATAGAGAGAACGACAGCTAGTTTCAAGCTCATTATTTATCTTATTTTAAAATCATTCAATACACTTAAATTAAGAAAAGAACGAACCTGTGCAAATGTTTCTTTGCATAGTCTTCGGATGCCTCAGAGAAAGTCTTCAATTCGGAACTGCTAACCTACAGTGAGAATATAAATACAATCAAGACGACTTATTTATTGAAGTTTTGATGACAAGTCTTTTATATTTGCAGTAGGAATTAGGACCCAGACAACTGTAAAATAGGAACTCGACTGTTTGACTTAACTATGATTTCAAATAGTCCAATGGACCTTAAGCACAGCAATTGCTTATAAGTCAAAGGTTATCCATTTCATTATTGCTTATTTAAGCTACTAGTAAAAATGTGAGATTAAGAACAACATGAAATACAGAATAAGATTGCTCAAGTTTCGTTTTCCTTTTCAACAGTTTTCTCTGTCGCACTTCCGTTATCTTAACCTATAGAGGGTTAAAATGTGTTAATCATCGAAAAATAAATAAACGTGTTTTTGGAAAATTATGTTAATAAAAAGTCTCAAAATTTACCTTTATTTTCATATTAAGAAGATTCTTAACATTAGGACCCCAAATATCACCATGTTTAGGTTTCCATGAAACATTACATAGAGTACAGCCCTCGCCAGACATAACGACGACCTTCGTTCTTCCTCACTGTAAAGAATCAAACCCCCCTGGTCAAATTCTGCCCAGATGAGTAGAAACTATGGGTTTTTCTGTTTTTAAACGATCATTTTGGTAGTAATTTTATTAAAACTTTATCCATTATGGTCTTTATTTTCTGAAAATAAATAAAAATAAACGTAGTGTATATTGTATAAGGAGTGCATTGTATTATTGTATGAGGAGTGTATTGTGATTGTATAAGGAGTGTAGTGTATATCGTATGAGGAGTGTATTGTATATTGTATAAGGAGTGTATTGTATATTGTATGAAGAGTGTAGTGTATATTGTATAGGGAGTGTATTGTATATCGTATAAGGAGTGTATTGTATATTGTATGAGGAGTGTAGTGTATATTGTATAAGGAGTGTAGTGTATATTGTATAAGGGGTGTTTTGTATATTGTATAAGGAGTGTAGTGTAAATTGTATGAGGAGTGTAGTGTAAATTGTATAAGGAGTGTAGTGTATATTGTATGAGGAGTGTAGTGTAAATTGTACAAGGAGTGTAGTGTATATTGTAAGTGTATTGTATATTGTATGAAGAGTGTAGTGAATATTGTATAAGGAGTGTATGTATTTTGTATAAGGAGTGTATTGTAAATTGTATAAGGAGTGTATTGTATATTGTATATTGAGTGAAGGGAATATTGTATAAGGAGTGTAGTGTGTATTTTATAAGAAGTGTAGTGTATATTCTATTAGAAGTGTAGAGGATATTGTATAAGAAGTGTAGTGTATATTGTATAAGGAGTGTAGTGTGTATTTTATAAGAAGTGTAGTGTATATTCTATTAGAAGTGTAGAGGATATTGTATTTGAAGTGTAGTGTATATTGTATAAGGAGTGTAGTGTATATTCTATAAGAAGTGTAGTGTATATTGTATAAGAAGTGTAGTGTATATTGTATAAGGAGTGTATTGTATATGTATAAGAAGTGTAGTGTATATTGTATAAGAAGTGTAGAGGATATTTTATAAGAAGTGCAGTGTATATTGTATAAGAAGTGTAGTGCATATTGTATAAGAAGTGTATTGTATATTGTATAAGAAGTGTATTGTATATTGTATAAGAAGTGTATTTTATATTGTATAAGAAGTGTAGTGTTTATTCTATAAGGAGTGTAGTGTATATTGTATAAGAAGTGTAGTGTATATTGTATAAGAAGTGTAGTGTATATTGTATAAAGAGTGAAGTATTTTATAAGAAGTGTAGTGTATATTGTATAAAGAAGTGTAGTGTATATTGTATAAGAAGTGTAGTGTATATTCTATAAGGAGTGTAGTGTATATTGTATAAGAAGTGTAGTGTATATTGTATAAGGAGTGTATTGTATATTGTATAAGAAGTGTAGTGTATATTGTATAAGGAGTGTAATGTATATTGTATAAGGAGTGTAGTGTATATTGTATAAGAAGTGTAGTGTATATTGTATAAGGAGTGTAGTGTATATTCTATAAGGAGTGTAGTGTATATTGTATAAGAAGTGTAGTGTATATTGTATAAGGAGTGTATTACTACTGAATATATTACTGAATGGTAACCAGGGTGAAATGTCCACATACAAAGTTTGAATAGTGTCCGCTCAGCTTATATCAATAATGTTTTTAACTTTACAACTAGAAATTAATATTTCAAGCAAAACACAAACGTGCCAATAGAAAAAAAAATTGACGGAAGAATCTAACAAGGTTTAGATATAAAATCAAAACAATTTTTGAATGTTATTGATAGCAAAGCAAATATATCAAATGTTCACATTGTATGTGTATTCTATGTATATATTCTATGTATATATTTGATGTCTATATTCGATATCTATATTCGATGTCTATATTCGATATGTATCTTTGATGTCTATCTTCGATGTCTATCTTCGATGTCTGTAATCTATGTTTATATTCTATGGCGTACTCATTAATCTTTTAAGTTTGAGAGTTTACTAATTGAGATGACCTTGGAAAAAGAAGTCGAAGTAAGAATTAACCTTCCCAGTTCGTACTTAGTTGGTTACATAGAGACCATTTTTAGGTTGGGTCGATGATACCCCCCCCCCCCCGGATTTTGATTTCTTGTGACCTTGTTCTAAATTTGGGTTTGTCTTAATCTGGCAGATCTTATTAATAGTATGTATTTCTATGGTTCTTAGATTAAGAATGGTTCTTGACCAGCCTGTCTGCAAAGCTAACTTCTGTATTATGTTGAACGAAAAATCTAATCTATTTTCGTGACCTTTTTAAAGTACTCTGTATAGATTACTAGTTGAAGGCTGGATTTTTTTATTTAACTGTTTGAAATATTTCTATAAATCATGAACTTGTTTAAAATTTAAGAACTTGATTATTTCGAAATTTAAAAAAACTTATTTGGCAGAACAAGTTGGATGTCTGCCAAATAAGAGATTTTTTGTTGTATATAAGCAATTTTTTATTTCGTATTTGGAGTGAATGTCATAGGGGGATGGACGCCTGGCCTTTCTACCTTTTACAAACGCCGGAGAACCCCACCAGCCCCCCCCCCCTCTAGCAACTTAGTGTCAGGAAAGGTTGTATTTCTCAAAAAGATCCAAAACTTTTTTATTTAAATCTTAAATACAACATATGTTTATTCAACCGAAAAATGATGACGCAAAATGACAAGAAATTTGTTTTCATTTTGCACGTTAAAGGAACTGTAGTCTGGAAGCATAATTTCAAGGGACCCTCTCACCCTCCCTGCAAAGATGAGTCAAAAAGTGTTCGATTTTGATAATTTTTCCAAGTTTCTTATAAACAAGAAATGCGCAATTAAGTCACTTTTGCACAGAAACCACAATTTAATTACAACAGTTAAAAAAAATTTAAAATATATAAAGAATTTATCATAGTTCATATTTAAATTATATAGTGAGACATTTAGGTGCAGCAGTAACTATTGCATGGTTGCAGGTTTAAACAACATGAAGAACATGTTTTAGAATGACTTTTAATTCCGAAAATTGCCATTTAACGTTTGCTCTAGGGTACAGTAAAATATTCCAGCTGATCATGATTATTAACATAAACAGAGAGATATCTTTTTCATCTGTTTTTAAAACAGTTGTTTTTAACTATTTATTGAGTTATTCCTTATTAAAGGGTCTGTATGCGTCATTTCAAGTGATCCTCTGTTTAAAGAGGGAAATCGCTGATTAACAACAGTACCCTTGAAATCTTTGACTAATCAAGAATGACGGATTATTTCGTATTTAATTACAGAAAAGCTTGTTTAAAACTGCGCACTATGACCTTAGTCTCACGCTCTCAAGTAAAAATCGATGAGAGGTTTGGCAAAAAAGTGTTTTGTAATGCTAAAATAATGTAAATGGCTACAGAAAAGAATAAGTGAACTAGAGTGGTAAAATCTAAACCCAAGGCGGTGCGACACTTCAAAGTCGACCCTGTCTTTAAAATTGATGAGACCGTTTATAAGAAGACTGAATCTATGTGCGCGCGTTGGACATAGAATATTCTGATTTTTCCAGGAATAAATGTTTTTTTACATTATTCAAGATATATACACCGAGTTCTCTGTCCTCATTGATCAGTCAAGGGTTGAAGGATACCGTAAATTGGGCCACCTTGTACTTTCCTCTTTAATAAAATATTTTTTTTGGAGAGTGGGGGGTTATCACCTCACAATACTCATTTGACGCCACTGTGTTCTTTCTTTACTTGTTAATAGTTTACTGAAGCCACATCCATAAACCAGCGGATTTAAGCTTTCTTTTTTCAGTTTATAAAGTTTAAACAAGATTTTTACTCTTTACTTTCAATTTATATAGCTTAAACAACACTTTTATCCTTTACTTTCAGTTTATAAAGTTTAAACAAGATTTCTACTCTTTACTTTCAGTTTATATAGCTTAAACAACACTTTTACCCTTTACTTTCAGTTTATATAGTTTAAACAACACTTTTATCCTTTACTTTCAGTTTATATAGTTGAAACAACATTTTTACCCTTTACTTTCAGTTTATATATTTTAAACAACACTTTCATACTTTACTTTCAGTTTATATAGTTTAAACAACACTTTTACCCTTTACTTTCAGTTTATAAAGTTTAAACAACACTTGTATCCTTTAATGAAGACGACAATAAATCTTTTTTTTTGTTAACATTGTTTAAGTTTCCGTTTTATTCTCAGAAAACCTTTTCCAAAAATTCGTAAAAAAAAATGTTAAAATGATTTAAAAGATAAATTAAAATTAGGGGATAAATTAAAAAAAACCGTAGTCTATTTTCAGTTAAAAGGACTGTAGACGTAATTCCAAGTGACTCACCATATTCATGTCCGATTCACAATGGTACCAATCTTAGTAAGAGTATGGACTGTCGTAACCTAAATCAATTTGCAAATAAAAATATAAAAATAAGGATATGTTTCTTATTTTTTTAAAAACTTGCAACTTTATGATCGGAGAGTCGCTTAAATTCTTGCACAGTCCCTTTACTTGGGGTGGAAAACAACCAGCTCTTCTTTCTGAACAGTCCCTTTATTTGGGGTGGAAAACAACCAGCTCTTCTTTCTGAACCCTAAAACATATTCTTTAAACTCTCATTGACTTTGAAGTTTTAGTGAACAAGCATGTCCTAATATCCCAGATACCAATTTACGATGTAACCTTGAGGATTGTTGAAAGCCAAATATATACGATGAAATGATGCAAGCTAATCTGAAGCGATAGTATTATATTCTTAATGTATTAAGTTTCGTCTGTCATCNCTCCCATTGTGTAACTTCAAAACTTTACAAATTCCACAAATATTACATTAAACAATTTCAATCCAAACCTTATTAATAGTTTTCTCATTTAAATTCTAATAATAAAATCTAGTGTTTAAATATTTGCTCTGATTGTGTGCAAATCTTGTATCCGGAAGAATTATATGAGAAAACTCCACATTTATGGGGCGCCGGCGCCAGCGACGCCCCTCACTAAAGTTTAGAATGGTACCATAGTGAGAATACCCTATAATAGAAGTCATGTATCTTGTTCAGGTCTAGTTGGACAAGAACAGCAAACATGGTTTCAGCAGTTTGGTTGATTCCATTACTCACTGTGGTAAATGGACAAATTGTTACCCATAATAATGGAGCCCAGTCTTATCAGTCAACAACTTTTTTTGGTAGAGGATCATCTAAACCAGCCCCTTCTCCACCTGCTAAACTGAACCCTGTCCCCTACACGGAATCTGTTGTGTATATTGAACCTATTGAACTCGGTCAACCATTGTACCAGCCCCAACCTGTGTATCAACCCTCTATACAACAATCTCAGAGCCTGCCTCCAACTGTAGTGTATCCAGAACCTGCTCAACCATCATACAAACCTCATCCTCAGCCTTTTTACCAGCCTCAGCCTGTCTATCAACCTCGGTTTGATCCACAATATCAACCTCAGCCTGATTATCAACCCAGAGTAGAAACTCCTGCTTACTCACCTCAACCTGAGGTTCATCTACCTTTACCTACCCCTCAACCATTTGTCCATTCTCCTAACCTTCAACCGTTTGTACATTCGTCTTCCCCACATCAATCTTTTCAATCCCCTTCTCCTCAACCGTTTGTTCCTTCTCCTGCTCCCCAAGTGTACCCTCAAGTACCTGTTGTAACCACTCCTGCACCCAGAGTGAATAATTATAATGCTAATCCAGTTAATCAACATCTTCCCTTAAGAGCAGTTACAAGAACAGTGTCTTCTGTACAGAGTTCAGTTGGACCCTACACCCCCAAGCCTGTTTCTAGCTTCATACCTGAAAAGTTTCTAGTCGAGAGCAGAACTGCTCCTCCACAAAGTAACCTTCTAAACACATATCCCTCTACACCTGTAGAATCAACCCCTAGGCCAGTTTCAAGTTTTATTCCTGAAAAGTTTCTAGTTGAGAGCAGAACTACTTCTCCTCCAAGTAACACACAAAATAAGTATCCGTCTATATCTACAGAATCGACTTTTGCAAACTCAGCAGTAAAAAATACTAACTTTATTCGAGTACAAAGTACACAGAAAGTTATGGAGCTTCCATTAGACGTACCTGCTGAACAGATTGTGGATGAAGCTTTAGTTGAGGTTTCTGCTCAAGGTGATAAAATTGTTAGAGCACTGGAAACCTTGACCAAGAATAAGCTTGTTGCAAAACTACTAAAATCCAACACTAATAGTTCTGATCCTTGCTCTGTCATCCCTGCCAATATTGATGTTCTAGCTAGAGATCTGATCACTGGGCTCACAACTTCAAGAACAGAACTTATTGCTCTCATAGCAGCAGTTCAGACCATGAAACGAGAGGAGAAGAACCAAGGAAATGTTTTGCGAGCTGCAGCCGAAGCTGTTCGAGCAGTGGAGCCTATTGCACCAAAGTTTTCTCGAGTTTTCCAGACAGATGGGTCATGTCAAGCGTCGCTAGAGACCAACATTAAGCGGCTGAATACAGTTGGTAATGTTTTGAGTACTCTTGGTCGAACCAATATTATTGCAAAAGATGATGCTACAAAAGAAAGATTACTCCAGGGAGGCCAAGCATCTAAGATCATTGGGCAGGTTACAGGTAAAATTATCTGAAATATTAAACTTTCAAAGCATATTTTAAACATCTTTTTTTAGTTAATCTAAATGAGGGAAAATTTACCAACCTCTGCTCTGACTCTCCTTCATTCACTGGAGATGTGTTCAACGGTGCTGGGGAGATTCTTGGAGGATTAACTCAGATAGTGAAGACCTTTAATGGTAATGAGAATACTGGAGATATTCCTCAGATTGAGAAAACTGTTGTTTTACTGAGAGAGGGGGCGGTAAGTGAATTAATCTTATGCTTTTTTACTAGAAACAGTTTAATAAGAAGCTTTTTTTTGAAGATTTCGAGAGAAAATTAAATTATGACCTGAACTTGCAACCATTAGTTTTAATTTCCTTTTCAATGAACACAACATAAACTTCTGATTTCTAAAAAAGTGTTTTTGTTAATAATTAATATTTCAGGCTCTACTAAAGGATTTGAACTCCGGTCCTGAATCTTCCTCTGCTACTTCAGCTTCCCCCAGCTGTACAACCTCGCTGTCAGCTGTAGCTAAATCACTGGAAGAAGTGGCGGAGTTAGTTGATATAATTGAACCAGAAACACTTCAGTGATACTATTTTTTATCTATATGATTATATTTTGTTTTGTTGTTATATTTTTCATTCAGATAATAAAAACCTTGGCTAAAAAGTGTACAAAAGCTGTGCAATTCTATAATAAAATAGATATTTGTTAATAAATCATTTTTAATGAACCAAGATTTTTAATTTGAATTTTTTTTTGAAAAAAAATGAACTCTTGACTCTGATAAAAAACTCATGGCAATTAAAAATGTAGAGAGTGCTTTTAGTTTTAATTATAACTTTCTAAATATCTGTCATTCTCTTAAAATACATTTTTATAGTTATTATTGCAATTAAACAGTTTAAAAGAGACTTTAGTTGCTTCAAAATATCGTTACGCTTGTTTAGCAAAATTCCATCAACATTTTTCACAAAATTTGTTTAGAAATAGACACAATTATTCAAGGTGTTTCGCTACTTAGCGATTTCCCTAAAGACCTAATATATGTACAGTGTGGTATTTCTCAGGATTGGATCGTAAGACTCCCTTCTCTCAACGCTCTTCATAATAAAAAGGAGGATAGTAAGGTTCCGAACGTTTATTTCTCTGAGCCTTCAATCTAAACAAGTTTAATAAACCCACAGAAAAAGCTTTGAGTGAAAATCATACAAATATAACAAATAATCCACTCAGGCATTAAAAAACTGTGGCTAGGAACCAATAAACGAATACATAATCATCAATCATACTAGAATCAACCAATAAACATAGATATATATGAAATAATTACCACGGTGATCCCAGAATTCTGAACACGGAAAATACTTGCAAAACGAATAAACATATACTGAATATAAATATAACTACTACTCCGCTAGAAATCTTGCGTCTGCGCAGTCGGACTGTAAACAGTTCCTAAACTAGTTTTTTCACAATACATTCCGTACAGATCTTCAGGAGAAACTCAGAAATACGCAGGGGCGACAAACAGACTTTCTACATGCAGCATGGCTCGCGTAACACAAGGATTTTATTTAAAGATGAAATAAAAAATAGATGGGATTTATCTAATTATCTAAATTTTCCAATCTTCCTTTTTTACTTACAATATATGAAATTCCAATTTTGGAAATATCAGATGCCGTGGATATTTAATTTAATTTTCATACCATCTTTATTTTCCTTGATTTTATAAACACTAAGATGATAAAATTTCGATTCTCAAATATCTTGTTTATTTGGACACCCTGATTCCGGACATGGTAAGGAAAAAAAATATCTCTAAAAAGTTTTATTCTCCCAGGGGCGTTTGCAGGAATTTGTCCAGTGGGGGGTTTAACAATTTGGTCCAGGGGGGTGGGCTCCCTGGCACAGCTCCCATTGGGGCCTAAAACCCCCCTAGAAATCTCTTTACCTAGACCCCAGGCACACCCACAAATTACATTTGAATCCCTGAAATATGGTCTGATATACGACCTTATATCCCCCCCCCCCCATCCAACAATGTTCACAATAATACTCCAACGTAAACCTTGAACAGCTCAGTGCACTCTGCATAATACTAAACATTTAGGAACTAGGAAGTCCCAGGGGGCCGGGGCGGAAACGTCATGTGTGTCTGTACCAAAAGAATCTGTGTAAGCAATACCGAACCGAAGGCGTGTACTGTAGGTATAAACAGTACATAAGAATCTCGGCATTTGTGCTTTAAACAGTCTAGGAGTGTACATTTGTGTATTGTTAATTGTTTAATAAAAAATAAGTGTAGCATATTTGCATTTTATATTATATATATCTATGTCCACACTATATGTTAAAGAATAAAATGTGATTAAAATTCATAATAAACTATTTGTGGTTCGATGCTTTATTTGGGGTGGAAGATCTGTCTTTTTACGCTCAGTAAATTAAATTTGTTGCTGTAACTCTAGCTTTGTATGTTGCGTTACTAAGTTTTAAAATAATTGAAGAAAATATTTTTAAAGTTATGTAAGAAAAACTACAAGGGGTGGGGTGTCAAATCCATAGAGAATAGAATATATATTAGAGGGGAATTTACTAAAAAAAGTGTAAAACAGCCATTTTGTTGTACTGTTTCCATACTACAGGTGTACTTCACATATTTATGCTATATATAATATCATTTTATAGAAAATCTAAAATTATTGTTAAAAGAAAACCAAATTATGAAAGAGGCTGGTTTCATAATTGAACAATGATCATTTCACATAGACTCTATGCCTTCCACTTTACAAACGATGATTTTTCGTTATAACTATAAATCAAAAGATGTTTTTTATTCATTATAAAGTTTATTTAACAGTTTAAAAATTCGAAATTGAAATGAATAGTCTAGGCAAGAATGTAAGGCAAGGGAAGTTATTTTAGAGGTGTACACATCTTTTGTACTGCAGTGTACTGTCTCTGGACGCAAATGTAAACACAAGACGGATGTCGAAGCCTGACATGGGATCCATATTTCACATAAAAAATCAATGAAATATTCTGGTCATACGAAATTATTATGTGAATTATCAAAATTATCAAAATTTAATGCTTTTAACCTTCTCGGATACTAAACGAACACTGATGCATCTATTCTTGTTTACAAATTCCGCCCAGAGAGAACTGGTTTCAATATGTACACAAAGTATACACAACCGCAATTGACTTTCCTTGCATTACACCAGGGAACAGGAATAAAGGGAAAGGAAATGGCGCTGGTCCGGCAAGAGAAAGCCAGTCGCACTGCTTTCCAGACCAGTACAGTAAACTGACACACACTCTTCTGGTACAGACACACAACATGACTACAGTCAAGGAAATTGTAGAACAATGTCGTCGATTATAATTAAATTTGAATAACGAGTAGTTTATTGTAAACTTTAATAAAATTATATTCTTTGCATGAAAATTTGGCTTCATAGTGTTGACTTAAATATGTAAATAATATATTACATGTATATTAAACATATGTTAAAGTAAACAATTAACAATAAACAAATGTACTCTCCTAGACTGTACAAATCCCGAGATTCTTACGTACTGTATAAACCTACAGTACAAACCTTTGGTACAGTAAACTGACACACACTCTTTTAGTACAGACACACACACATGACGTTTCCGCCCCCTGCATTACATCCTTGTGTCTAGGGAACATATACTGTATTAATGTACTCTACTGCATATAACTTGTGAACATTTACATGATTTGTGCACTTTTAACTCCCTTTCAGGCTAAAAGGGACTTAAAAAATTTATACCGAGAGATTCTTTAAATTCCCATCTATGATATATTCTAGTCTCTATGGTCAAATCCCCCCCCCCGCAGGACCTATTAATGAGAAGGAAAAAGAAGAAAATCACATAAGAGATTAATATTAAGAATTCAATGAGATTTTTGGAGATTATTGAGAATTTATTGAGAAGAATAAAGAATATACAAAGAGAATATTTGAAGGGTATAAAGAATTTAACGCAGAAAAAAAACTAAGAAGATTTAAAACAAAGCTTTTTGTTTTGTTCGGGATTTAACAAAAAATATAACAGCGAAGACGACATTGTTCTGCAATGTTGTGTGTCGGTACCAAAAGAGTGTTCGTGTGTAATGCAGAACTTGTCTGCAAAGCGATTGGCTTTCTCATGCCAGACCAGCGCCATTTCCCTTCCCTTTATTCTTATTCCCTGGAAATGCAAAAAAAATTCTTTGTAATTTACTTTGTAATTTACTTTGTAATATACTTTGTACTATTCTTTGTAATTTACTTTGTAATATACTTTGTAATATACTTTGTAATATACTTTGTAATATACTTTGTAATATACTTTGTAATTTACTCAGTTTATATACTTAGTAATATACTTTGTGACGTTAAATTATGAGAAAATCAAATTTATTTTGTTACATATCATCGTCATCGTAAATATCAATTCAATGAAGACGACTTTCCATGTCAAATTTCATTTCTACTACTCAAACTGAAGAGAAACATAAAAACATGTAAAAGAACGAGAATTTGTGAATGAACAACTTTTCTTAGTTGAATTGCAAACTTGAAATTGTAAAATGCTTGTTCGGGATCACAGCTTTGTTAATAAAAAGTCGTCTTCATAATAATGATATGATTTTATAATCCAACGGAAATGAAACTGTCTGTAAGACGTACGTACTTGTTTGTCCAAACAAGACGACAATTTAAATGTTCTACTAATTTCAAGATTCTCCTATTACTTTGTTTTGCTGAGTTTTTGTTACAAACTCCGGTTTTTTAATCCCTATATCTTTGCATCACAATGTCGTAAACCTTAGATATTTTAAACTATGAATTTTGTTAGGTCAAAAAATCTTGTTGGAACTATCTTAGACTTACGCGATTTAGCCGGCCCTGCAAACATTTAGTCTCCGACAAACCGATGCCGAAGATTTTAATTCCAGAATTATTTACACGACATCTTCAAATTCAGCACATATAGTCGGTTTTAATGTTTTCCGGGAGTGGCTAAGAGGGATTCGAAAATTAGACTTTGTGGAAAAGACTCAACTCCTTTGCACTGAAAACTGTTGACTAATGAAAATGATATTTTGATGCAAAACAAATGTGAATTGTTTCCTTCCATCAATTTGACTAATTCTTATCTTTGCGCAATTTTCATCCAACATTAGAACTTAGAAGTTTATTGTATAACATCGCCGTCAAAATTTAAATTCTCGATCTCTCCGTCAACCTACATTATACAGAAATTTTTCACCAAATACCAGCCAATTATAAGAGAGCATTTTTTTTACTTTTTTATTCGTAATTAGCGCACATGTGTTTTCGCTTACGGCGTAACTAGCGGAATTTGCGAAATCATCATTGAGCTAAAAAAACATTTTGCAGAGAAAATAAAAAAATATGATTTTCCATTCCACAAATAACTCGATAGTCGACTTTAAAAATGTTTTTGGTTTTATCTTACTAACTCCTTTATTTAATGTTTCATCCTTATGCAATTTACAATTTTAAACTAGATTGTTTATAGCGTAAAGTCAAAGTTGGTTGCCTTTAGTCTCTAAAATATCAAATGTTTTATTCAAATATTTTGCTTTTAATGTTTCCAAAGTTATCGGAGATCTATATTTTAGTTTATAATTTGTTAAGACCTCGATCCGATATGGTTTTAGATACAAAGACAACAATTATATAACCTATAAGTATTGTATCCTCTTTTTGAAACATCTTTTTTGTTTGTTTAGTTAGTTTTTTTGGATGTTAACGTTTTTTTTTTTTGAAAAACGATCGTTTCGTTATGAAAACAACGACGAAAAATCGAAAACGAAACGATCGTTAATGAAAACGACTGTTTTTTTAAAAATGTTTTTTAAAAGTGGTCGTTTTATATATAACTCGTCATTTCGTTAGCGATCGTTAACCAAGAGAGGAAACCGATCTGAAGGGCATCTGTACTTACCATTTAGTAGTTTTTAAGAAAATATAAAGAAGTTTTAGCTCCCAACAATTTTTTAATTTCATGTAAGACGATATTCAATAAAGTTGCATGTATTTTTTTTCGTCGTTTCGTTAACGATCGTTAACGACAACCCTTCGTTAACGATCGTTAACGACGACCCTTCGTTAACGATCGTTTACATAATTGTCAATAAATTTTTTTCGTCAAAATTTATTGATTTTTTAAAAAACGATCATATAAAAAATGGTCGCAAATCGTTTTTATAAAAACGATCTTAAAGTTGAATGCAATTTTTCTCTTTCCAAAACGATCGTTTTCCCTAAACTATAGTTTTTAAAAAGCTCGTAGTTTCGTTAACGACAACCCTTCGTTAACGAAGACCCTTCGTTAACGATCGTTAACACAATTGTCAATATTTTTTTTAAACGATCGTTATACGTTTTCTAAAAGTTCAAAACGATTGAAAAACGAAATAAAAAACGATCGTTTTCAAAAATGATGTAGGTCAAGATATTTTGTTTTAAATAACATGATTAAATTATTTTTCTCTTAAAATTGTAAAAATCATGTGTGAGAGCTTCATGATGTCTTCAATCTTTATTTTTTGACTGAGCTCCGTGATTCAGTTTACCGTGTTTAATTAACAATAATGAATAAGCTTAAATCGCGGCACTTGCCGTACAGTAAAACTGTTGTAAAGGAGTTCTCATAAACTTGAAGACTGAGTGCAAAGACTATGTCATTTAAACAAAATCCATAATAACATTATTTATATAATACATTTTGATTGCACAATTCTTACATAACTTCAGATAATTTCCCCAAAATGGAAAATCAGATTAAAATTTACAGTTTAACCAGAGAAGGAACTTTCATCCAGAACCTCTACAAGCTCGGCCACCTCAGAAAGTGATTTTGACACTGAAGATAATGATGTTGAACATGACGGAGAAGATACAGGAACATATTCAGTTTCAGATCCTGACAGGTTCAAATCTTTCAATAAATCCTAAAATTATAAAAAAATATGTTTTTGTAAATAGTTCAATAAGTGTAAAATTTATCAATTTAATTGAATATTCTCACCGCTCCCTCTGTCAGAAGAGTTACTGTATTTTCCAACTCTTGAGTATTAATTCCTTCTGATTCAGCATCAAATGTTTTGGCAACATCATTTAGTCCTCCAAGTATCTCCCCAACTCCCTTGAAAACTTCAGGTGTAAAACTTGGTGAATCTGAGCAGAGGTTTGTGAAACTGTTGGAGTCAAGGCTCTCTGAAAAATATAATCATGAGTGTTGATAATTAGAATTTATTTTAATAAATTTGATTAGTCAGCGAGATTGACAGAAATTCAGGGATAAGTTACCTAGTTTAAAAGGTGGTAAAATTATAAAACATACCTGCTACTTTTCCTATTATTCTGGAAGCTTCCCCTCCTTGAATAAATCTTGTTTTTGTATAATCATCCTTTGCCACAATGTCAGTCTTTCCTAGAGTAGTAAGCACACTTCCTACTTTGTTTAAGCTCCCAATTGTTGATTTAATGCTTGAATCACAAGCATCATTGGCCTTGAACACACTAGAGAACTTGGGAATAAGTGGATCCATAAGCTTGACAGCCTCGCTAGCATGTCTGAGAACCTTGACTGTTTCATTACCAGCTGCCTTCATGTTCTGGACTACTCTGATCAGAGCAACCAATTCTTCTCTGGAGGTTGTTACTCCATCAATAAGGTTCTGAGTTATTACATCTAGGTTGGTTGGAACAATTGCACATGGATCATCATTCTTGGAGTTAGAGTCTAAAAGCTTGGCAATTAAAGGATTTTTGATCAGGGTTTTCACTGACTTAAGTATTTTACCCCCTTGAAGAGATGTTTCAGTTATGATTTTATCAACGATTTCCTCTGGATTTCCCACTAGAGATATCTGTGGGATTGGAGTGGTGGTACTACTGGTTTGTTCAAGAGTTAAAGGAGGTGTTTGAATCAAGGGTTCTTGTCTCGCTATACTTCTAGCTGGATTTGATGCAAGCTGTCTCAATACTGGTGGTTTGGCAGAGTTTAGAACACGTCTAGCTTTATTATTCTGAGCATTTACTTCAGACTTAACTCGTACAATACGCCTGACAGGAACTGATTCTTGAATGGTTGTTCCGACTGGAAGTTCTACAGATCTGCCATCTAGAACTCTGCCTCTTAATGGTAAAGAATTATATGTCTCAACATATCCTGGCTGTTGGGGGAAGAAGTTATGAAGTGGAAGGTTAGAACCAACAACAGTGTTAACTGTGTAAAGCTGTGAGCTAGCACATTTTATCAAGAAGTAAAGAAGTGTCACCGTTGAGAACCCCATCTTAACTGAACTGATTGTTGAATTTCAAAAATATTTATAAACAAGTTGGTATGCAATGCTAGCTTCGGGAAGATGGTCTTACTTAAAACTGCCTTTCTCAGGCTTTAATTTCTTTATGGGACCATTTCTAACCTGACCATACAACACTTGAAATTATCTAACCACGGTCCCGGGACTTCTCTCCTACATCCGTATTATTGATAGTTCCGATATATCATATACTTTTGGAAAGCTCTGATCCTTGCAAATCCGAGTATGGAAAAACATTCAATTTTTTAGCTAAAAATCCATTTTTTAAATACCTGAAAATATATAGTTGTTTAGAATCCCTCATCTTCTAAACCCGTATGATGATAACGTAAATTATAAATTATGTATGGGTGTTCCTTTCCTAGGGGGTACACCCAAATCACCTTAAACCTAGCCGAATGCAGTTAAGGCTGGGAGGTCTTATTTCTTTCTAAATTACTGCAAGACACTGATACATGTAATGTAGCTGACAAAGGGAAGTTCTCATTACAACAATGTCAGCAATAAACCTGCATAGATGGCCGATATCAAAAACAACTGGATAAATACAGAAACTCAAGAGCTGATATTGAAATACTACAAATTGCCTGATCAGCTCTCGAAACTGCATATTAACCCTCCTGGGGGGGGGGGCGGGGGTAAGCAGCTAATTGAATGAGCAAAACAGAACAGTCAGGAAACAAGAAGATTGGATAAATGAGTATCCGCATTCTGCATTAAATACATATATCAATTAATTTGTTTCATAAAAAAAATTATAAATAAATAAATTGATAAAGTTAAAAAATAAATTATATAGTTTTGAAACTTCTGATCCTAGTGAGTTCCAATACTTTTTGCAATGCATTTGAAAAAAATCAATCTTCTGTTGCTAACAAAAAGTTATAATATGTAACTTTGATTATTTCAAATTTGCAAAAGAAAAAAGGAATTTATGTGCGAATTGTTTGCATTTTCCTCTTCATCCTAAAAGCTATCAGAAATATCCGAACTAAAAAAATATGTGTTCTGTAAAATTTAAAAAATTTATTGCCAATTTTTCTTATTAAAAAAATATGCAACATTTTTTGCAAATTTTTTGTATTGGCCTGTAGCTTTTCATAAAGCTATCACATCCGAAAACATAAAAATTAAATTGTCCCAATTTGGTTGTAGGAAAACTGCCTTAAAGGGAGTGACCGGCCAATGTATGGTAGTTGAACTGAGAATGTAGTAAATTGTGGAGACATTTTTTTGGATTCATTTGAAACATATAAAACGTTTTATCGATGTATAATTTTTTAGTTTGTTCGCAAGGCCGACTTTCAAAATAATTCATTTGTGTGGTTACATTTTGAGAATCTATTTTTTTAATTATTAAGTAAAAATTAAACAAAAATTCTACAGTAAACAAATACTTTGTTTAGGAACAGGTTGAAAAAATAAAAATTAACTCTCATCATCGAAAATAAGTAATCTAATTCGGTTATTATTGTTTCTGTAATCTCTTATTCTTCACAAACATTTTTTGTAGATTTTCGGGACTTTTTATTGAAAAGACGACATTTGAAGAATTTGTAGGAAATTCGTAAAGCATAAAAAATTCAATATAATGATGAAAAAGAGATAATTGATTCTAAAATTGAATTATGTAAAGTTTCTATTGAGAAATATGTTCAAAACATCTAATTAGTTTACTGTAAAAATTTTCATACATTTTTCGTCGTTGTTATTTAATAATTTTTAAAAAATCGATTCTCAAAACGTAACCACCCAAATGGATTATTTTGAACTCGAATAGGGCTAATTTTGTTTTTCATGATTTGCAAAAATGTATTCAAAAACCTTAATACCAGCATAAATAAAGGGTAAAAATCGCCCCAATAATACCAAAAAATTCGAACTTTATATAAATCATGGAGGTCAAATTTAAACCGCGTCGCTGAACCTCCAAAAACCGGTTTCAACTTAGCGTCGGCTCAACCATGTTGAGCGTTTTAAATTTGAGACGCGCTGTTTCTAGAATTTCTTCTTTTGTTAATATTTGATCTCATTGGTCCCCGGATTTCCTTGTGTAAAATATGAAGCAGAGCGGAGTGTCAAAATTGTATGTGTGTTCGTATGTTACCTACAGCAGCCAAACCGTGCCACTTAGAGATTTGTAAAATTATTGTCGGATTAGATATTTTGGCGCAGGATGTTGTTTTTTGCCAGTGTTGGATGATTTTTGAATACTTTAGCTAATACTCCGAACCTGTTCTATATTTATGGTAAACCTAGCCTGATCATGGTACTATGCTGGTGCCATTCCAAACTTGTAACTCACCCCACTACCTCATCTGTCAGGCAGTAAACATGTTTTATATTGGATACGGTTTATACAGGTCTGGGTAGAAAGAACCAAGAATGATTACATAAGATCCCCTCCCTTTTATGCTAAACAACCAAACTAAAACTGTGTATTCAAAAATATTTGTGCATATATGTAAGGATGTCCGTACATATATATTCAATATACATAATCAATTTATTATTCAATAAAACAACAGATTTACATCATCATATTAGACATAGATATATATATCTATATCATTTTTTCTTTCGAAATTTTTTTATTCCGTTTTTAAGCATTCCACGGGCAACGTCGGACACTTCAGCTACTTACATATATGTACAGGGTATACCGAAAAAAAAAGGTTTTATTTGCAAGTTTCATAGGTTTTCTACTAGAATGAGACGACAGAGGCGTACGAGAGCATTTCTGTAGAGGTGGGGGCACATTTTGCCCCCCCCCCCTCGAAAAAGCCTTAGAGAATAGGTATAAGGTTTCTATATCCATTTTTCAAGGGCTTTTCAGAAATATAGTTTTTAGATATGTAGCTTTAGTCACAATTTTAGATTTTTTTCTCTCCAAAGACCGGACTTTTTTCCGCGCTTTAGGCCCAACCCTATTCATGAAAAAAAATTACAAAAAATCCTTTAAATTACTATGTATTAATAGTCATCACGTTTCACGATGACAGTGTCAAAAATGAGAGTGCTAGGACAAAAAAAAACCCGGACAATCCCTTGTAATACAGTCGTGCAAGCTTAAGGGATGAAAAATAGAAATGGAAATGTTTTTAAAAAAATATCTATATTTTCATAGGATCGATCCATATTGTTTCATAAATTATAAGAAGTGAGATTTTAAAGTATTTTTTTAGCACGATGTATTTATACTTAAATGGAATACATGCGCAATTTCAAGTAACACTTCATTTATAGAGAGGCATATGTCCGATGTACCTTTGAAACCTTTATTTCTCCATCGTTTCTGAAACAAAAAATGCGCGAGTCACTTTTGTAGAGAAACCACAAATAAAAATATTCAGTTTTGAAAATGAGAAACAATGTTATATAATGCAATACTTGATCAGACAAAGCTTTGAAGGGTATAGTTGTGAATCAGAATTTATTGCAAGCAGATGTAATAGTAAAAGAGCCCCCCCCCCCCTCGTACGCACCTGCAGACGGCCCTGCTGCAGACGGTCAAAATTGACCGGGCGGTCAATTTTGACCGATGCCGAGCCGGACAAAATTGGCCGGTTTTTGTATCTCCACTACCCTTCATTGAAAAAAATTGAAACTTTACATCATACTCTATGGACAGTATAACGAGTTAACCCTGTGAATTTCAGAAAGAATTATTTGTCTCGTCACTAATGGGTTAAAACAATATACGTAATTAGGAATAATGCAAAAAATTTAAACGAAATATTGCCAGAATAATTCTAGTTGCATGATTGCATCTGTAAAAGTTTACTATACACTGAATACCATCTATATATAAATTTGGCTTGTCTGTTTGTCTGTTTGTCTGTTTGTCTGTCTGTTTGTATCCAATAAACGTCAAAACGGCTGAACCGATCGGGCCCAAATTTTTTGTGGGACATCTAGGGACCCCAGAGAAGGTTTATGAATGATTAAAATTTCAAATATTTGTCTCCATCAAAATTCGATCGTCATTAAATTTTTTAAAATTTTGAAAATCCGCGAAATTTTTTGTGAAAATCCGCGAATTATTTTTGTTTTGTTTTACGATGTACACAAAGAGAACATATGTTCACAATTAATTTAGAAGATGGGCGCGAAGCGCCCTCTAAGGCTAGAAAGAAGGGCGCGAAGCACCTTGAATTTCTAGTTATTATTATATTTTTGTTATAACCGGATAAATTAGTTCCGAATCTGAATAATTATCTTTTTTAAGCGTATCTTTCAATCCAAGCTGAGAAAAGAAAAAAAGCTTAAATTTATTAACAATGGGGAACACTGTTTATTGAAACAAAAAATGTCAACTTTAAATAAAATAGGGTGTGAGAATTAACTTTTGCAGTCACTTCATTTAATTCATTTTATTTTCGAACATGTTTATTTTTTCAGACATTTCAGATCCATGCTGCGTCTTGGAACATATTCTGATTTTGAGAATCAAAATCAAATTATCGTCAATTTGCAAGCATTTACACTCATAGGTAACGATGTTAACCATTAATCTTAAAACCTCTATAAAATGTCGTCTTCTACTTACCGGCCTATTATCCGGATTTGTCTAGCGTGTTGCTGTTATCTGTCAACAAACGAAAAGGTAAAATCTACATACATAAAAATAACATACTGTAGTTATTTTAATTTTAGATTATTTACGGGCATTGCAAACTTAGTATTAAAGTGAGATATATTTAAAAGAAATGTGAGAAATTGTGTAGAAAATGCTATAAAAAATAATTCATGTTAATTCTTTATATTTACAAAAAATTTAGAAACATAGATTTTATACTTGTTTTGTAAGTGTAAGGTTTATGTCGAAAACATAACAATGATTTCAATTGCCTTGAAAGCGGTAAAAGGTTTTTTCAATTTTGATTTTAAAAAGATAATGGCAATCAGAGGCGTAGTCAGGGAAGGGGGCTATTGGGGCTTTTAGCAATTGCTTCTCGTCATGCTTAATTAAATGTTGAGTTTATTTCTTACTATCGACTTTTGTTTTGGATATGCAGGACGTAATCCTAAAACCCCTATCTTTGTGCCCTTTATAGTACACTGGGTATCATTGAGTACACTGGATATTGAATATATATATAATATATATTCAACATATTGAAGTTAAATTACGCCTTACATTTCATTTTAATTTATTTTTATTTTAAAGGCAGTTATAATTAAGAATTGCTGTTGCAGTGATTTTTTGAAACCTAAATGCAAGATTCTATGACAAAATTTCTCTTCGTCCTCTACTACTAAAAACACACCAAATTCTATTTGACATTCTTTCTTTTCTCCTTAAAATAGAATTATTGAATTATTGATAAAAATGTTGTTGTTTTAAAATGTTTTACTTTCATGATAGAGGAGACTTAAATTTTATATAAAATCAACCTGAAATGCTTCTTGGTCTCGATCTTTTGTTCCTCTGCAGATTAAAATAATTCTTTTTTAATATCTCGTCTTGTAAATTATACCTACAAGTCAGGGGTTATAGGAAGCTTTGATCTATGTAAGAATATCTAAACGAAGCTATGGAAAGGGTTTTTTATAGATCCTCCTATTTTAAAGTGCTCGCAGTGGATATCGATACAAAGCGATTTGGATTATGAGTATTCAACACAAAGCTCCAGCATGCAATGGTTAACCAATCAAACACTAGGTTTGCCGGCCTATATATATATATACTAACAACTAACAAGGATCCTAACTGTACATTAACGTATAAATATGAGTATATTCGACGCTCTGCTTTACAGACAGTTGACACAAACTCAAATATTTGAATCCCTATATCCTTGGATTATTTGCTTTGAATTTAAAATTTTTGAAATATTTAATGTCTATGACATTTGGTTGTAAAGGTAAGAAAATTTGAGTTTGTGACAAAGACTCGCCGTCGCGTCCTTTCTCTTTGTCATTTCTTCATATATGAACGCAGGTCATATTATCCAAAGCCCTGGAGTCAAACGTTCTTTTTATCATACTTAACCCTATCCCTGCTGGGGTACTTGAAAACCAGGATATGCTGGGGGGGGATGTTACAGGCAAAAGCAGTCATTCAGGCAGTGTGCCTGAGGACTCAGGCAGTTAGTATTAAAGCCCGGTTTTAGGCCTAAAGGGAGGGCTTTGGGTATGTAAGAAAAGAAAAAAAATTTCAACAGCCTCAGACCAATACTTTTTGAGATATGTAAAAAAAAAAAAAAAAAGCAGGAATAGGGTTAAAGTGACATTCCTATATAAAAGGAGTTTTTTGGTATGCAAAAATTTTCATTGAAGTCCTTAATAGGCTAAAAACCCTCGGGATTCAATAAAAACCCTTGAGCTACGTTCTTTATGATTATTATTTAATCCCTAGTGATTTTGCCACATTCTGATTATTTTAACCCCTTTCTTAACAACCAGGTGTCGTAGACTTTTGATATCTAAAAACAAGAAATTTTACATAAAAAAGTCAACATTTAAAATATTAATTGTTTACATCAACCGGTTGCAAAGAATTAGGGACTATACAACATTTGTGTTTGTGGCAAAAACTCAGTTATTTTCCATTGGTTCTAATTTTTCTGATAGTTGATACTTTTTATAATGATGTTAATGAGGCATGATTTTCATGGTTTGTCGAGCTATTTTTTAAACTACTTGATTTATTATGACTAGGATATATTTCCCGATTCATCTGCAACCATGATTATTTTCTTGTGTTTAATAATTATCTATATTGAAATATTAACTAAATGAGTCAAATTATTTTAATTTCTATTTATTTAACACGTGTCGTTTTACACGAAACTGAAAAATATAAGCAATTTTGCTAACAAAAAACAATTTTTTTGGTTCTTAGAAAAAATCGGTATAAAGTATATCCAAGAACAATGATTTTAGATCTGAACTGGCAAATATATATTTCTCCTCCTGTATAGATGGCGCTGATTCAGGAATCCTTAGTATAGAGGACTCAGATGTAGTATATTGCACTTTTAATATTTGCATGTGCAAAAATAAGTTAAATTTATTTTTTAATTTTAGTATTAAGATTTTTTAAAATGATTATTCTTTAGTTTATCCAAATAATTGTCAAATCCTACTAAACCCCCTGTATACGCCCTTGATATAATTACATAAAAGTAGGATTTTACTATAATTTAGAAAACAAAGAAATTGAGTCTTTGCCACAAACTCAAATTTTCTAAACCCTATATGATCTTTGCAACTATGGTTTGCGAACCTTTGATATTTGAAACAATAGAATTTAAATTGAAATATCTGAGGTGTACGACATTATAAAAACTAATTTAATTATTTTCTCAGAAAAATAAATTTCCACAGAAAAATAGATTAATTTTGGATGAAAAGCATAAGAAAGAGGGAATTAGCTTGTTCTGTAAATTTTTCAAAAAGTTTGTACCCCTGAGAAAAAGTGCGGTCCCCTGGAAAATTATATTCAATGTTTTCAGATGGATTTCCCAGATGATGAACCCTGTGCTTCACAGAAGGTATAGTCTAGTCTGTTGAATTTTTGTAAATTTTTGATTATTTTGGATTCTATTGAAAAATTTTGAAAATTATTTTAATTTGAATTTATCAATCTTGAAAAAAAAGTTAAACATTGTTAATATTCTGTTACGGGTACAATCTATTCTAACCGATAGATCTGTGTTTAAGGATCTGACAACACAAATCCCATAGTTTCAGTAGAAGTAAATATTTCCATTTACTGTTATAGCGCCGATTAAAGGATTCATAACTCTAATTGGATAATGAGATAGATAGAAAGATAGATGTTACCGCCATACTATTTCTATTGGTTCAGAATAGACAACAAACACAACTGAACCCTGATTGGATCAGGCGCTAATGGACTCGGCATACAGGAGTGAAATCTTACATCAAACTAAAGTAAATTGGTAGTAAGATTAAATCCTAACCCCTAATGATAAGAATGTTTTAACCAATTAAAACAACCTACTCTGGTGAGGCGGGTCCAAACTACATAGTAAATTGTGATTTTTTATTTGTATTATCTCGTGCTTTGTAGTTGAATAAAATATGAAATATGAAATGAATATAGAAAACATCTATCTATCTCATTATCCAATCAGAGTTATGAATCCTTCAATCGGCGCTATCAGTACATATAAATTACTTCTACTTTTACTATGGTGAGAGGGCACAAAATGCTATTAGACTGTCGCATAAATTTTACTTTTTCCTTCTGGCTGGTTTACAGTGCTAGCCACATAATGCTACTTCATTTTTATTCATTCTAATTTCACTATAAATGCAGGCACCATATGCTCACAGGAATATGACAGACTTTGCACCCGACAACTTTGGGCTTTTCTCAGACGAGGAAATCATTAATGATAATTAAAATAAAAACTAGCTCAAGAGCTCAGCGTTGCCCGTGTGATTTTAAAAAATCGAATTAAAAAGAATCTTTTTTCTTAGCCTATGTTAATTTTAGTTAGTAGTTGTAGTTTTAGTAGTAGTAAGTAATGATAGTTAGTAATGATAGTTAGTAATGATAGTTAGTAATGATAGTTAGTAATGATAGTTAGTACTGATAGTTAGTAATGATAGTTAGTAATGATAGTAAGTATGATAGTTAGTTATGATAGTTAGTAATGATAGTTAGTAATGGTAGTTAGTAATAATAGTTAGTAATGATATTTAGTAATGATAGTTAGTAATGATAGTTAGTAATGATAGTTAGTAATGATAGTTAATAATGATAGTTAAAAATGGTAGTTAATAATGATAGTTAGTAATGATAGTTAGTAATGATAGTAAGTAATAATAGTTAGTAATGATAGTTAGTAATGATAGTTAATAATGATAGTTAATAATGGTAGTTAATAATGATAGTTAATAATGATAGTTAATAATAATAGATAATAATAATTATTAATAATCATAGTTAATATATTTTAATGATTTATTATAACAGGAGCTGATAACTATAACGACTAAGGAACACTTTTTACGAAAGAACTGATTAATTATAAAAAAGACAAATGTACGTTTTTAAAAATGTATTTTGATTCTTCGATTTTCCGTGAACAGTGAACTTTTTGTCCTTAGAAAAATGTACATGACTGAAATTCAAGCATTACAAAAAGTCAAATATGAAAAAGAAATTGTTTGACTATTTTGGTAAGAGTTATACTTCTAAATAGTGTTGTATCCTAGAATCTCAATGAACGTCTGAAAAAGAACAGTAAGTTTGTAATTTCATATTTTTTATCCCAAAATTATAAAAAAAAACTTTTATATTTGCGGACATAGTATTTCAGTCTTATTTTTTTTCCAAATTAAATCATGTCTAGATGCGACTAAAGTATGATAGTAAACCTCTCTTTCAAAATATATTTTTTATTGTGTTCTAGATGTACCTAAAAAAACAGCCAACGCACTAAAGGTAATTTATAAATAAAAAACGTAGCTTTAGAATTTTTAAACGTTTAAATATACACTGAATAATTGGGAACTTTTTTGTTGGATACTCAAAATTCCGATCACTTGATCTGTTGGGTCTTATAAAGATTAAATTAATCTGCAGATTAACAAAAATCGTGATCACGGTATCCACAGTACATTAGTTCCCAGCACCGACATATTTAGCTGTCACAAATTACAAAATCTATCGCAACATTTCTAATCAAAAGATTTAAAATGAAACTTGCAATGGTTAAATCTGTATTGAGACGAATTTTACATACACGTGTAAGTTATAAAATATCAATCAAGCTAACCTTTTCAGATTATTAAAAAAAATATTGTCATTCAAAAATATTTAAACCTAGGAGAAAAGACGAACCTTGAAGAATCGTGGATATGCAGCTTCATGCAGGTAAACATCCAGGACGCTTAGCGCCCTGCAGGTAACATTCAGGGAGCTTAGCGCCCTGCAGGTAAGATCCAGGGAGTTTAGGACTATGCAGGTAACATCCAGGGAGCTTACCGCCCTGCAGGTAACATCCAGGAGCTTAGCGCCCTGCTGGTAACATCCAGGAGCTTAGCGCCCTGCTGGTAACATCCAGGGAGCTTATCGCCCTGCAGGTAACATCCATGGAGCTTATCGCCCTGCAGGTAACATTCAGTGAGCTAATCGCTCTGCAGGTAACATCCAGGGAGCTTAGCACCCTGTAGATAACATCAAGGGTGCTGAGCACCCAGATAACATCCGAGGAGCAATAAAGCGCCCTGCAGGTAACATCCAGGAAGCTTATCGCTCTGCAGGTAACATCCAGAGAGCTTAGCACCTTGCAGGTAATATCCAAGGAGCTTAGTGCCCTTCAGATAACATTCAGTGAGGTAAGCGCTTGTAGGGAACATTTTGGGAGCTTAGCACCCTGCAGGTAACATTCAGGGAGCTTAGCGCCCTGCAGGAAACTTCCAGGAAGCTTAGCACCGTGCAGATAACTTTCAGGGAGCTTAGGACCCTGCAGGTAACATACAAGGAGCTTAGCACCCTTCAGGTAACATCCAGGGAGCTTAGCACCCAGATAAAATCCAGGGAGCAAAGCGCCCTGAAGTTAACATCCAGGAAGCTTATCGTTCTGCATGTAACATTCAGGGAGCTTAGCACCCTGCAGGTAACATCCAGGGAGCTTAGCTCCCTGCAGATGATATTCAGGGAGCTTAGCGCCCTGAAGGTAACATCCGGTGAGCTAAGCGCTTAGGACTATGCTGGAAATACGCAAGGACCATATCGCCCTGCACGTAACATCCAGGGAGCTGAGCACCCTGCAGAAAAGACCCTGAAAACTTAGCGCCCTGCAGCTAAACTCCCGGGAGCTTAGTACCCTGCAGGTAACATCCAGGGAGCTAGGACCCTATAGATACATCGAAATCGAATAATTTGAGTGAAAAGACATGATCTGACAGAAATGAATGTTTTAGGGTGAAAAAGGAATTAAAAGAGGAGGAAGTTACAGCTTTGATAGCGAGAGAAGAGGCAAGTCCTTGATCATCTTGGAATATATAAAATGTGGGCTTTCAAGAATCAAAACTTCATTCACTTTCAGTTTAAAAGATAAATAAAAGATAGAGCACACTTTGGAAAGTTCATTGTCATTCATTAACTTTTAAAAAAATAGAATTTCAAATAAATTTTAAATAAAAAAACTCAAATTTTTAGATACCTTTTTCTTTGAAACCTTACTTGTAAAAGCTTAGACTCGGGTTTAATTTCTTAGACCCAGGTTTAAGACTTTATTTTAGACCCAACCTATGAATCAGCTGACGACATCTTGTGTCACTTGATCGACCCTTAGATTCGACTTACACAATTATGCTCGATCAAAATAAACCGACCTTGGTTGGTTTTATTAGAAAATTAGTCTCAATGTTGAGTCTTATTTTAATCAAATCCGCCATTTTCAATCATGAAAATCCACCAAATACGATATTGACCAGAGCTGGGAACTTTTGAATGTTGGATATCGGGATTAAGGCTTAATCCACCCTTTTTCTTAATTTCGAGATTAAATAATGCTTGTTCTCCTCTCGTTATTAATCTCCAGATTAATTAACCGATCGGGATTAAGGATATCCCATTCTTAAGTTTTCAGCTCTGAGCTGGGAACTTTTGAATGGTGGATATCGGGATTAAGGATATCCCATTCTAAAGTTTTCAGTTCCGGTTTAATAAATCCAACTCTGTGGAAAATCCCAAAGCTTTAGAATGGCAGCTTAGTCCTTATCGTCTTATTTCCTGATATTTAAAATCACGAGCTCTGCTGTATAAAATATTCAAAGTTTGAAATATTAAATTGGTTTAACCAATTGGTTGCAAAGATTGACTAGAGATCGATTCAGAGGTTGAGGCAAGTAATCAGTTAATTCAATTAAATTTTTTTTTCTATTTTAGGCATCATTTCTTGAGCAGAAAAATAGGAACATGCTGAAAGCAAGGTAAAGTTTAAGTTTCATTTTAAATTTATTTTTAAAACTTAGAAAGCTAACTTATTTTGTCTGTTTCAGTGCTATCAAAAATAAGATTGAGGTAAGAATAAGCATACTTTCTTCTTCAGTTTGTTACATTCTATAGGTATGTTAAATGTTCCTTTCAAGCAATACATTTCTAAAAACTATTCAATTTTTTAGAAATTTCAAGAAAGTTTCGAACTTATTATTAAACCTAAACTTGTCTCATTTACAATTTGGTTCATTTCATCTCTGTCGAATTGGCATGCTGGAACAAAAACTTTCAAAAATTTATCACTTTACTTTCCTCCTTTTAAAATCTCATTTTTAAAATCCAATCTTTCATAATTCATATTTTTTCAGTTCTTTGCCTAATGACTATCTATACCCTGGGAGTTTTGAAACTCATCTTGACATATTCTAAATAAAATAAAAAATTTTATTTGGCATTTGATTTGAGGTCAAGATTTTTTAAAGAATTGACACGTACTCACATGCTCCAAGAAATCTTGCAGATGGATAAAATTTGTAGAATTGAATTGAGTCACATACTTAAATTTTCTAATCTATATATCTTTCATACCTGATGGTGTAACTTATTTGATCAAGTAGAATTCATAGTTTGAAATATTTAAGATTTACGACATTGGTTTGCACAGACATATGAACTAGAAAATCAAATATTGTTGCAAAGATTTAATTCCTATACTTTCAGGCAACAAAAACAATGATGAACGACTTGAAGATCGATAATTCGGAATATTTGGCAGAGGTAAAAAATATTTTTTGATTGTTAATCTCTTTATTAATCCAACTAATCCGATTCTCCCTCTTTCAAATAGTTTTTATTAAATCTCGTAAACCTGGTTCTATTATTCTGAGTCAAACTATTAAAGATCCGGATTTTTCCATATTTGTTTATCAAAAGTCGGGATTCAAGCGCATTGCACCATTTGTAAACGTAAATAAATTTAGTTCCCCAACGTTAGATTTTCGTATTCATATCTTTGCGAACCTATTTCGCAGAGCTTAGATATTTCGAACAAGGAATTCTGTTAGATCAAAAAATCTAAGTTTGAAATATCAGAGGTTTACACCATCAGGTTGAAAGATTATAGTGATTAGAAAATTTGAGTTTTTGCAAAACTCTAATTCTTTTCTGGAGAAAAATCTTTCGTGATGTATTTCCATAATGTGATATAATCTTCTTACTAGGTTTTCCAGCGAACGAAACGTTTTGCGTAAAAATGCGCATTTGGCAAACTTGTTCGCAAAATATCGCTGTTTTTCCCGGAAATAAATGAAGCGAAAACGAAGCGAAAACGAAGCGAATTTTTTACGAGAAAATGCGAAAATATTGCTAAATGCGAAAATATTTACGAAATTCGAAAATTTTGCGAACATGTAAAAATATTTTCGCTAAATGCGAAAATTTTGTGAAAACCATGAGTTTTATAGCTGCAACAGTTAATTGCTCAAAAGAACTTGAATTCTCTGCTCTAAAAGCTCAATATTTGAAGTTTTATTATGTGATTATGATTTCTCTTTCTTTACTTTATTAAATATTTGATGAAGAGAATTTGATTTCACTAGCTATCTTTTGAAGTTTCTATTTGTTCGTCCACAATACATACGTTAGGGTGTCATTATGAGCCAGCCAATTGCAAGAAAGAATCTTTTAATCTTTTTCGCATTATTTTTTCTCGAAAGTTTCTTATTATTTTTTTCGCAAAATTTTCGCATTATTTCAATGGCAAAATTTTCGCGAAATTTTCCTATTGATTTTTCCTGAAATTTTCGCAAAATTTTCGCATTTTCTATTTTGCAACTTTCGCGAGCGAACGAAATGCGAAATATGAAGCGAAATGGTTGCGAAAAAAAATATTTTTGCGAAACGATTTTTCCTTTACGCTGGAAACCCTAAGTACCATGGAACAATATTATAATTTGAAAGATTTTTATATAATTTTCTTTACATTTTTTTCATTTAAGCCTAATAACTAAAATAATTAATAAATAAAAACAAGAAAACTGCGGAATGAGGGTCTCTCTTCGTTATTCCTTGCAATGTTTATTTGGCCACTTTTTAGAAATAGTTTAATTAAAAATTACAAATCGTTTATTTTGTTTATAATTCAAATAAAACAGTTTTCTGGTTCTCATTGGCTTAATATTAAAGTTGGAGAGGAAGATATCAGAGTTGGAATTAGACAAGGAGGACTTCCTCTCTTCCTGATATCTCATCTGTATATAGAAACTTCTTTCCAGGTCATTTTGGAAAAATTCAATGACAAGGTTTAAACCGAAGATAAACTGAGCTGAAAACTTAAGAATTGGATACCATTAATCCCGATCATTAAGTCTCTGTATCCACTGCATGCCGACACTAGATGTTCTGCATAATTCTCTCTTTTTGATATCCCTGCTGGGTTTGGACCAAGGAAAGTTCTCTCATTGATTGCGCGCCAAAAATTTCAAATTTTTTCGGCTTCGTATTGGCTGTTTGTTCTACAATTCTAAAGTCTTTAGCTCTGGATAATCATTAGCATAACCTAAGGGTTTAATGCTGAAGGCATGATTGCTCTAAAAATGCAGGAAGAAAATTGTACCACATAGCATCCAGTTAAAGCTACTCAAATATCCTTTGTGATTGTATGCATTATTGGAGTTTGTCCGATCATAGCTCTGGAAACCTGGACCTATTTGCCTCAAATTTAGATTGGGGAACTCGGGAAAACCACAGGAATGTTCTTATCTTGGTTTTGATATTCTAAGTTGAGTGGGTTAACTCTTAATGTAAGGAAAAATCATAATTAATATTTTAAGAGCAAAATTTTTAACAATCTTTTTTAAGCAATCATGTCTGCAGTGTCTGAATCATAAAAAAGTAGTTAATCGAATATAGCACAAATTGTTTCCTCTTTTTTCTGTCACCGTATTGTATTATTAAGATTTACCAAGATTTCTGTTTTAAATTTCTGCATATTTTAAAGTTTTATTTCTTACAATTTTTTATTTTTTTTCAGGACGATCAGCATCTAAATTCCGACCTGTTTACTCCCAACTACAAAGTGTAACCTAACCGAATCAAGAATCAAGTTCCAAGTGAACCTGGTTCAGTCCTCCAGATCAAGTTCCAAGTGAACCTGGTTCAGGCCTCCAGATCAAGTTCCAAGTGAACCTGGTTCAGGCCTCCAGATCAAGTTCCAAGTGAACCTGGTTCAGGCCTCCAGATCAAGTTCCAAGTGAACCTGGTTCAGGCCTCCAGATCAAGTTCCAAGTGAACCTGGTTCAGGCCTCCAGATCAAGTTCCAAGTGAACCTGGTTCAGGCCTCCAGATCAAGTTCCAAGTGAACCTGGTTCAGGCCTCCAGATCAAGTTCCAAGTGAACCTGGTTCAGGCCTCCAGATCAAGTTCCAAGTGAACCTGGTTCAGGCCTCCAGATCAAGTTCCAAGTGAACCTGGTTCAGGCCTCCAGATCAAGTTCCAAGTGAACCTGGTTCAGGCCTCCAGATCAAGTTCCAAGTGAACCTGGTTCAGGCCTCCAGATCAAGTTCCAAGTGAACCTGGTTCAGGCCTCCAGATCAAGTTCCAAGTGAACCTGGTTCAGGCCTCCAGATCAAGTTCCAAGTGAACCTGGTTCAGGCCTCCAGATCAAGTTCCAAGTGAACCTGGTTCAGGCCTCCAGATCAAGTTCCAAGTGAACCTGGTTCAGGCCTCCAGATCAAGTTCCAAGTGAACCTGGTTCAGGCCTCCAGATCAAGTTTGGTTTAATTTAGACGAGACATTTTACCTTTTTTGTACCATGATTTTTTAAACATTTTTAAAGACTATCTTGTTTTAAAAAGTTATTTCTTGTTCTGTACACAATGTGTACACTTAGGACACCGTGTACACACAATGTGTACACTAAGGCCGACGATTTTGCAGAGAAATATTTTTTACATCTTCATTAATTATAGTTTTCTTTAATCGATTCCAATTGAGTGCAGTTAAATGAAGGGATAGCTGGTTTAATTTAAAGATGGGCCTGCCTGATTAATGATCGTACCCTTGTAACCATAATCTGATTAATAACGTGGAAATGTTTTTCTAGCTGGAACTGTGTTCAATTATGTTAACTTCTCCATTATTTACGAAACAAGAAATGCGCCAGTAACTTTTGTACAGACTCAGGTTTAAAGTGTGTCATTGTGAGTCGATCATGTAAATCTTTAAAAAAATGTTATTACATTTACATACTTTGTACTAATGTAATTACATTTACATACCTTGTACTAATGTAATTACATTTACATACCTTTTACTAACGTAATTTTATTTACATACTTTTTACGAATGTAATTACATTTACATACCTTGTACTAATGTAATTTCATTTACATATATTGTGCTAACGTAATTTTATTTACATACTTTGTACTAATGAAAAGATCTGAATAGTGTAGCTTTTTATTCAATTTAGTGATAACTTGAAGCTTGGTCTGACTTTTTAATATTTTATATTTCATAACTTGAAATTTCATAATATTCAACAATATTAAAAGAGAATATTGTATTTAAGACTATTTTTAGTTACTTTATTTCTATGTTGATTTTAACTTGTAAAAGTTTTATTATTCCTGCATTAACGTTGAATTGTATTGATGATGTGGTGGATAAAATTCCAAGCCTTCAGCTTTTATGTAATTATTTCAAACGACTGAAACAATATTTTAATTTTTAATTACAAATTAAGACTTTTAGAAATCTCTCTTCTGCCTGCACGATGTTCAAAATGATCCTTTAAATCATATATTTTTTTATTAAAAAATTGCATTATATATTAATGGAATTGTGTTGCTATTTTATATAAAAAAAATTATAAACTATATTTCTTTGTAATTGGAAAAGTGTCATTAAGAACCTTTGCAAAGTAGAGGCGTGCTAAAGTACTATGCCTTTGAAACAAACCTGAATTTTCTAACCCCTCTATCTTTTCCACCGGTTGGTGTAAACCTTTGAAATTTCAAAAACTATGTCTATTTGATCCAAAAGAATTCATAGATTGAAATATTTGAGATATACAACATTGGTTTGAAAAGATATATTTGATTAAAAATCAGAGTATGTGGCAAAATTTCAATTATTTTGCTTCTAAAATATTGTAAAATTCAAATAACTGAAGAAGTTAAGAAAAAAATTAATTAGTAAAGTCATCTTTCAAATCTTATTTGTTGTATTAACTATGTAAAATATATTGAATATTTAATAATCAGAATTAAAATAAAATATGTAAGCTATGCACAATTTTATCGTTTTAATTACTGTAGCTCATAATGTAAGTAGATGTAGCCATGTATAATGTACTGATGCTTTTTTAATATAAGATAATAGAACAGTCTTGAATATAAATCGATTTATAACATTTTAGACTAGAATGTGGAAATATGAAAAAAAGGGATCCTGACATTAAAGGGAGTGTTCGCGAAAAATGAAAGGGGGTATAGGCTTAATGCGATAAAAAAGCGCTTTTGATCGCTACTAATCTTACTTCTATCTGTTGCGTCTATAAGGAGAAAATTGATAAAGACGTCTCATACCGAAGAGCGTAGCGCCCATACAAATCGAGGAAGTTTGAGAAAGTTGGAACATATGACTTAGACCGTAAAAAAATCAAATTAATATCAAACAAATCATTCAGATATTGCAACCTATAGTCATTGATTATCTTTCGCCACATTTGTATATAGTTTATATTTCATAATATATATATTTTTTCACTATCCCGAATGACTTTAGAAAATATCAATTTCGTGGATTTTAAATAGCGAAGACGATATTTTCAATCAATTAATCATTATCCTCGGCGAATTTGATCACAACTCTGAACAGTGAACATCATGCTTGTTGAGTGGTTTCTAAATCCAATGACTTGAAGTTAGGGCCGTAAAATGTAGTTTGGCATTTTATTTAAATATATTTAGGGTTAGTTTAGGTTAAGACACTTTCTGGGCCCAGCGATGCGGCTAGGGCGCCGAGCGCTGCGGCCACATGTCTTACATTTAAGATCCATGTACAAATTTGATAGGGGGGGGGGGGCCGGGTTTCAAAAATCGATCTCTAGGAAATTACCATTTAAACGTAACAATTCAAGAATTCATAGAGCGAAAAATAACATTTTTCCTGAACGCCACCCAAAGACCAAAAAGTAAAGAAAAAATGTAATAAATAATACTTGTAGCAAATCTAAACAGACGACTGGTTGTTTCAACAATTTTAAAACTTGTAAGATTGTAGTTCAATTGGAAGCAAACAGTGACTAGCGTGCCTATTATTTATCGAAATATATTTTTTAGATTTTTAAAATGAGTACGAGATGGCTATGGTTAACAAAGTTACAAATTGCTCTAAAAGATTGCACAGGTAATTGGGGTCCGTCCTAGTAAACCAAACCCCCTTTCTATCATGTGTAGTGTGTACATGGCCGACTAAATTTCAGCAAAATTATTATTAGTTATTTTGTATTATTTAAGCTGCGGCCATGAGTTATTATTTTTAATACCTTACAAATAGATTTCAAGTACATTTTTTTATAAAGGGGGAGGGGCAAGAATTGTTCTATAGGAAATTACCGCACTCTGATTCGATTCCTGCGCTAAAACATTGTTAGTTGTTTTAGCCTATTTTTACTATGGGATAAGAATTCATTTCGTATAATTTTTTTAAATAGTGGATTTTATTGCTTTTCCCTAGAACGCCCGGCTGGGTCTGCAGTCCTAGAGAACGGTTTTCAAACTCCCCCTCTCCTATCATGAATTTTCAACATGAATGGGGGGGGGTCCAAACAGCATTATCTATGACAAAAAGTATT